ATTATTATAAGTAACTTTAATACCTTATATTAACTCTAGGATTTAAGTAGGGGTATAAACCCTATAGGTAATAAAATAATAAAATAAGCAGAAAAGTATAACCTCCTCTTAGTATTAATAAATATACTTACTTAATATTTAGGAAAATATATTAACTTAGCTTTTATAAACTGCCCTATAGTATTTAAGGTTAAATACTTCCTTAATATAAGTTTAAACTACTATATAGTAATTATAAACCTTCTTAAGCCCCTTAGAACTACCCTAGGTATAAGGAAAAAATATATTCTACTAGATTATTAAAAAAACTTTAGTTAACTTATATACTCCTTTACCTAAACCCTTCCCTTAGTTAATTTAACTTTACTATTAGAGATTAACTTAGATAAGTATACTAAAGCCCTGTAGGACTTTTTTAAATAAATAATAAAGGCGGCTAGTAAGACTAAGTATTAGAATAGTTATAGTGTACCTTAGTAGTTAAAGAAATATAAAGTAGTTTATAAAGCCTATAAAAAATTAATAAATAGCTCCTCTGCCTAGGAGAAAGCTTATAAAACCCTTAGAGATATTATATACTATAGTAAATAAGCTTACTAAAATAAAATTATAGTAGAAGTAAGTATTACTAAGAATATATAATTAATAGTTAAATAGCGTAAGGTAATAGACTGCTTTTAACCCCCCTTTTTAATAAATAAAAATAAAAATATCTTTAACTTTATAAAAAAAGCTACTTTTTTTAAAAATAAACTCCTTAAATATAAAATAATAAAGGAGAATATTTTAAATTTATAAAAAAAAAACTTTCTTATTAATAAAAATATTTACTAAGACTAAATAATATTAAAACTAAAGGTTAAAAAAGTTATAATAGGGTTAAGTAATATTATACTTAGCGTAAATAATATATTAATTACTTTTTTATAGCTTACTTAGCTTATTATTAATAAATATATAACTAACTTTTTCTATAGTTATTTAATAATAAAATATTACTTACTACTTTTTTAAAGTATAAAGATTATTATTATCCCTAAACCTAAAAAGCTTAAAAAAGTATATATTATATATAAAAGGTATAAACTTATTTTCTTACTTTTTTATATAAAGAAAGGCCTTAAGAGGCTTTTAACTAAAAAAATTTTCCTTTTAGTAATAAAATATAAAATCCTACTAAAATAATATTTTAGGGCTTTTTTAAAAAGGTTTACTATAGACTTTATTACCTGCCTAATATATAATACTAAGATTACCTTAGTATAAGGCCTTATTATCTCTTTTCTTATACTTAATATTTCCGGCGTTTTTAATATAGTTATATATAACTACTTAATATACTAACTTAGAGAATAAGGGTGGCCCTCTCTTTTTATAAAATAAGTTAACTTTTTTATAAGTAATTAAAAAGCTTTTATTTAAAGTAAGTATAAAATAACTTTTTTAAAAATAAAGCTAAAGTATAGAGCCCCACAGGGGTCCTTTATTTTATTTATTATCTTTATACTTTATTTCTCCCTTAACCTAAAGCTTAATAATTTAAATACCTAGTTTAGGTATATAGATAATATAAGTATTATAGTAATAGGGGCTAATACTAAGAAAACTACTTAAAAGCTTTAATAAAAATTAGAAAATACCTTAAACTAAGGTAATAGAAATATAATTTTCTTTAACTTTAATAAAGCTAAACTTATATATTTTTATAAAACTAAAGCCTAATTTTATAATAAAAGAGTAAACTTTAGAGAAAAAACTATAGCTCCCTAGGACTTAGTTTATTAGTTAGGTATATACTTAGACTTATAGCTTTTCTTTAAAAAATACCTTAGGATTATAAAGGGAAAAGCTCTTAAAGTAGCTAATTTTTTAAGATTTTTAAATAAAATATAAAAAAGGTTTTTACTAAATACTATAGCCTTAGTAATTAAAGCTTATATTACCCCTATAGCTTTATATAAAATAAAGGCTTTTTAGCCTAGTGAGAGTAAATAAAGTATAATAAACCTAGGTAAATAAGTAGGAATAGGCTTAATAAGACTAATAGTAATTTTTAATTAGCCCTTTATAATAGTAGCTAGGGTAGTTATCCCTATTTAAAAAATAATTAAGCTTTTTATTATATATAGAGAATTTAAAGTCCCCTTAGTGTTAGTATAAGTAATATAAACTAGACTTTATATAATAGCTTACTTTATAGGCTTAAATAAGAATTACTTAGTTAGTAAATATATTAATAAGAAACTCTTTTTTAAAATCCCTTTTACTAAACTATAATATACTATAGCCTTAGTAAGTAAAATAATTTAACCCTCCCTTTTTATTAAAAATAATAAAGTTATTAAAATAGGTTTAAATTTTAAAGGCTTTTTAAAGTTAAATATAATAGAAAAATATTTTAAGTTTTTTAACAGCCTTCTTAGGTTTACCCTCTTTACTTACTTAAATAAATTATAAAATAAATAAGGTAATATAAAATAAAGAGTTATTATATTTTATAATTACTAAAGAATTATAATATATAGCCCTTTTACTAACGTAAAGGTTTATAATACTAAAGTAATAAGCGCTTTTAAAATTATAAAACTAACTAAGATATATACTTTAGCTAACTTAAATATCTAAGAGATTTTACTTTTTTTAAATAACTTAGCAGTAGTAAATAAAATATTAAAGCTAACCCCTACCTTATCCTAGGGAGCTTATATAAGGCTATACTAAATTACTTAGAAACTATTTTTATAAGTAATAACTAAAATAGTTTAGGTCTTAGGCTATAAAAATATACTAGGGAATAAAAAAGCTAATTAATTAATAAAAAAGGGTTTAAAACTCTTATACTACTTAAGAAATTACTTTATTATTACTTTTATTAAAAAGTAAGTAAAAAAAAAATATAAAGAAATATAAAATATTAATTAAAATAATAATTACTTAGAGTTTTATAAGGCTAGAAAGTAAGGCCTTTATAAAACTTCCCCTATACCCTTAGAATTATATCTCTTATACTTAATTTTATATAGGCTACTAGCTAAAAAGTTTAATTATAAGGATTTTATAAAGTATTATAAAAAATTTAAATATAATATTAGGCTTACTTATAAGTATAGTAAGCTAAGAATATAAAGGTATTTTATAAAATACTATATAATAGCCCCCTTTTTCCTTAATATATTAAAGAGAAAAGTATACTTTAGAACTACTTATATTTAATACCTTCTTAATAATAGAGAGTATAAGGACTTTTAAAAACTAGTAGAGGATATAAGCCTATATAGCCCCCCCCCTATAGATATAAATATATAAAATAAATTAATATTTCCTTATTTTCTTTATTATATTAAAATATAGCGAACGCTTAATCTAAACTTAGTGGCTTTTACTATCCTAGTGCCTAGATAAGGACTTATATAACTAGCTTACTTAGTGGACGTTAATAATAAAATAAATAAATAAATAAATAAGTGGGTGTGCATATTTGAAGTATTCCCCTTAGCCAAGTTTTATCCCTAACCCCTTTTCGATTTATAATGTATTTAATGCTGTTTATTTTGAGTCTTGACGTGTTCTGTCCTAACAGTTGAATCTCTTGAGATTTCTTTGGTTCTAACTTTTGTAATTGCATTTAATCTTTCTAGACTAACAATATTCCGCAATGAGGGTTTGCCGCTCTCACTTGCCACTCATCAGCTGTCAAGCCAAACTGCTCTCTTTCGTCCTCTGCACCCAGCGCTTCTCTCCTCCATTCCAGTTTGCCTTTCATGCCACCAAGCCTTGCAGCGTCTTTATACGCACTCTTTTTTATATGCCAAGTCATAAAGTCCACTCCATCGTTACTTAAAAAAACCCGTAATTTCCAGCCATCACCCGACTCCAACTCGTCTAAATATTCATTGCGTGGAAAACACCGATTCAGGGAAGCATCTTTGTAATTTTCTGCTCGTTCTGCTAGGTCATCTGTTGGGTGTGGAACAACTCCCACAAAAACACCACCTGATTTGAGATTGAGAGAGATGCTCTCAAACATAGCTATTAGTTTCTCTTTGCTCGGAGCATAGTTGAGAAACCAGGCCCCAAAAGCCAAATCAAAATGGCCGTAACTATCATTGGGAGCGAATGATGTCGACATTGTACCATCTCCGACTACAAATCGCGCATGTTCAGAAGCAACTTGTGACGATAAACGACATGCCGCACCTTCCAGCATTGTGGGTGAGATATCCATGCCAGTTATGTATTCAGCACCCCAAGTAAGAATGTGCGATGAATAGAATCCTGTACCGCATGCAAATTCAATAACAGATATACCTGGCTTCAGCAATGGTTTGACGGTCATGTACACATTGTACTTTTCAACAGCTCTATAAGGAAGGTTTTCAACGACGTTATAGGATGATCCAATCAGATCGTATTGAGACATAGTGAGGTTATTTGAACTTGCTGTTGTCAAGTACGGTTCAGAAATGCGATGGAGCGTTTGATGCGACGAGAAAAAAATTCTCTCAAACAGCAGCTGCGTCAATTAATGAAGGGAACAACGATAAACTTTTAAACTGGCATAAGCATTGTAAGAGACGAATATATTATTACATGCATGGCGCTTTTAGCTCGCGTGGTACATACGTAGTCGAAAGCCAATGTTTATTTGACCAAATAAGGTCGAAGCATCACCACTTAGTGTTGTTCACATGTACCGTAGGTAGTTAACAAAGCTTTTCTTTTAGACTCTAAACGTTGTCTACTTAGTGATTGTATATACTAGGCAGTGAAAGTTGCATCGCCCAATCAAGCGTGCAGTATTCATTTTTCTTCACTCTTTGTATCTTGTAGTAGAAGATCATAAAAACACTGGTAATAAAGTAGGCAATAATACATGCATCCCAAAAGCTAGCGCAAGTCGATTCAAAGCTTCCCTGACGGGGTGAAGTAATACATTCCATCTCTTATGTCGGCAATAACATCTGAATTGTTTGCAACACCGAGACTAGGGATCGTCGCAGCTACAAAGGCGTAAATACAAGGTGCAACGGCGGAAGTGTCAACGTAAAGGTATCCATAACTCCACTGTCAAAGCTTTTGCCAGCATCTGCATGAGCAAATGACACACTATAACGGAGTGCAATGTTGCTAAGGGCCATGCGAAGCTCCATCATAGCTAGATTTCTACCAGGGCATGCCCATTGGCCTCGTGTAAATGGAATCCAAGGAGATTTTTCCGTGGACAGGTTCTCCCATCTCTCGGGCTTGAAAGCATCTGCGTCTAACCAAAAACGTGCGTCCCGTTGTACTGTGTATGTTGGGACGGCGATAACTGTACCTCCAGGGATGAAGTCGTCGCCAATCATAAGGCCTTGTTGCGGCGTGACACGAGGCAAGCCGCCTGGGACGGATGGTTTTAGGCGTAATGTCTCCTGGATCACGCAGTCCAGATATGGGACATTTTTCTCATATGTCCAGTCGTTTATGCCTCCAGGGAATTCTTCTCGAATCGCTGCTTGAAGACGCTGATAGCAATTTGGGTTACCAGCGAGATAATAGAGTCTAAAAAGCCCCTCCACCTGTTAATACAACGTTCCACATACCACAAAACTCATATAGAAGAAGGAATACGGAGAAAGAGTTGCATGAAATCATACTTACGCATTTGAAAGAGCGGCGCTAGTTGTGTCACTGCAATAGATAGTCAGTACGATATCCGATTCCAAAGAGACATGTTTGCCTACCTTCCAGCTATAATCAAGAGGCGAGCATCTTCTTGAATTGCTATTTCACCAGGTGGGGCAGAAGGATCCCCTTCGTTGCGGGCTTTCAGCAGCCAGGATATTATATCTCGTGGGTCTTGATCCTTTAACACAGCGACTTCACTAGCCATAATCTTGCCCGCCCAATTAGTCTCGTTACATTTTCCGGATGCTCTAGAGGTGCAGGAAATCTTACCTCACGCTTTTTTTGAAGTTCCCGATGGCACCATGTGGTAAATCGAGAAAAGCTTGCTGCTGCACCAGGCACCTTAGATATCATGGACAAGAGCCACGGTACTGTGCCTAGAACACCAATAGCCAGCATGCTCTCGTGAACGCCTTTGATGGCGAGATGCTCGCTTTCCAGCTCCAGCATATGGAAATCTTTGGAAAATCCTGGCAGCATGCTGTTAGTTCGGGCACTTTGAAACGTATCACTATGGATATATCCGCATCAAAATATTCTTGAACTTCACGCACCGATATCGCCCATCACATCAAAGCCAAAAAACATAGCGTATGCCGTCATGTCAATGGGGTGGCCATGATGCTTAGCGATTTTTGATAGCAGAAGATCTACTTTAGCCTTTATTCGCGGCGCATAAACAGCCAGAGCTTTTCGCGATTAGCACGGCGCCACATGATTTTCTCTGAAAGCCCTAAAAAATACTCCATTCATACACACCTCGGAAACCAAGACCTCTTTCCCAGACCTTCTTGCGAAGCTTATGTACTTTAAGAACTCGAGTGGAATTTAGGGAAATTTTGGTCACATCATTTGACACCTGTGCATACCATGGCGATCTTGTTGTTCGTGTAGGAGGTTCGTATATAACACTGATGGCGGAGGGGCGATTGATGGAGAGCTCACGCGGGCCTTTTTTTCGGAAGTATTAAGCTTAGTTTTTGACATAAATATGGACATAAGCAGATGCCTCACCAACTCGAACTATATCTCCGTATTCTTTGTGGAGACTTTGAATATCTTCAAAAGCTTTAATGTTCTTGGCAGCATTTTTCATGGCGTAAAATCGGGAAATTTTAGCCAAGAATGGGCCTGGAAAGCGATTGAGTGGGTGAAAGAATGCTCTATACATGAGGATGCTAATCGTGGCGCCAGCGCTGTAGGTAGCTGCGATAAGCGACGCACGACACAGAGCCAGCATAACACCATAGCCAGCTACTTGTATATAGGCTGTGATCAAGATGAACACTGAACCAAGAAAGATGAAAAGGATCTGCCAGGCATGGCCATCAATCTCAAAGGGCCGAAAGATTAGATGGTGGGAAGTGACACCGGCCAGTAGTGAAACAAGTGCTGATAGCTCCAACGACGCATGCAACGCCGTGCTAAGAGCATCGCAAAATGCTGGAGCCATCCTGAATGATGGTGATTATAGTTGATACTCAACGGAAGAGGAGGAGAAGAAAAAGACACTGTAATGAGATGAAATATGTAGACAAAGGGCTCTGGAGTGCAATGCAGAAATGACCTGTCCTCCGTTGCAAGAAGCGCTGTGAAGAGTTGAATCATAACCTTGCCTGAAAGGCTACCTGTGCTAAGGGGAATCTCCAGACAGTGAATCCTTGTGCCGTGTGGAGCAGACACAGGGGTTGAGCCCCGAAAACTAGGGCATCTACATGCAAGGAGTAGCATTCGTCGAAGTTGTGAGACACGGAGTACGTACTCATATGCTATTGATAGAGCCATATGTCAGGTACAAATTGACAATAAAATCCAGTGGAGGCAGCTCTCCGTTTATAGACTTTTGCGGTCACTTCCGTCTTCAATCTGGGACGAAGGTTGCTGGTGGTTGCAAGTCGCCCAACAAAACAAGTGGAGGCTGTCGGCTTTGCTAACGATAATGGCCAACGAGTATGGAGTAGATGTAACCACATTCTCGCTAAAAATGTGACAGGTCAACAACTATGGATATACTAGTTCCGCAAAACATCAGGTTGACCAACCCGTACTTGAGTAAACCCATGCATATGACTCCCGCGGAGGAAATAAGCGAACCAATGCTCTAATTGTACTCTGTGCTGCAGATCAATTGGAAGATATGTGTGCTTCCAATTACCCTTGTGTGTAAGATTAGTGCTCGCGAAATGTAAACGATGGAAGATTCGATACAAACCGCCAGTTTCTCCTCTCTTCCTTAACATTCACGTAAGGGCATTGAAATCCTTATACCAATGTATACCATCGTAAGGCAAAAATGGAGGATCTCCATCCACTTTCATATATCATCATCTCGCTGCTATATATCCTCACCATGGTTACTATCGTGATGCGAATATAGGTTCGGGGTTGTTCCATGAAGTCCTTTGGCTGGGACGACTGGGCCATGACATCTTTATTGGTTCGTACGAATCTTCGCAGCTATCTGAGGTTGGCAGCTGACACTATAAGGTCTTAATCTCCAGATCTTCTTTTCTTTTCAACAAGCCCTCCTGTACTTTTTTCTGGAATTTGGTGCTGGAATGTAAGTGTCATAGACTTATCCCCCATCTCTGTCTGGAGAAACTCCTCTGTTTCAATGAGAAAATGGAGAGACGCTAAGTATATTAACTCACAGGCATATCACACAAGTCATGCAAGATCATCCGGAGTGGATGGCGGTACTTCTCAAGGTAGCCATTTCTTTGTGTGATAAAATCTAAGCTGCTGAGTTAACTTCCTTATACTTTCTAGGTTCTACTGCTTGAAGAATATTGGTACGTCTTCATGCAATTTGCTGTCAAGATGTGCTTTCTTCTATTCTTCTTTCGGCTATCTGAAACGCAGCTCTTTTTGCAATTTCTTTGGCCCATAATTGGATTCCACATGTCGTCTACGATAGCCATTTGGATTCTTTATTCTTTGCAATGCCGTCCTTTGAAGGCTTACTATGCTCCAGAATTATATCCAGACGCCAAATGCCTGAGTACTACCATGTTTGTACTATGACTACCTACATGTTACAAGAGATTGAAGTTCACGCAAGTTCGACAGAACATATTTCGTTCCATATTCTCTCGTATGTAGATCCGAAAGTTGCCTGCAACTATCATATCAGCCAAATCTAACGCAAATGATTGGCATGTCATTTTGAAGAGGTGTAGCTGACAGAAATTACACTACTAGCATTTGTTTGTTGATGTTTGCATACTATTTCTCCCTCTGCCGACTATTTGGACATTGCAAATGTCCCTGAGAAGACGAGTCGCTGTGCTTGTCGTGCTAACAACGGGTGGCTCTGCTGTCCTGATTGGTGGTCTACGTGCAATTATTCTGATTGAGTTCTCAAAATCACCCGATTTTACGTATTCTTTAGGGGAAATGGTCATCATTAGCAGCGCTGAGATGTCTATTGGAATTATTGCCGCGAACATGCCTGCTCTGAAAGCTTTCTGGAGCTGCTGGCGACAAAATACGTTGGGAGTTGGCAAAGCCACTGCTCTCACTGGTAGCAGCAATGCTGCTGTGGACAACTCAAAGGCGTCGCATAGAGGTGCAATCGAAATGAATTCGAGCAAAATGTCGTCCAGAAATGATACGAAGCTCAATAAGAGTTACACCGATGGTTTACCACCAACGGAGAGTGAGGAACAATTGTGCGATCACTGATGGGTGTAAGAGCAGTTACCTTTTCAAAATCTTCATCATTACGAAACTCCCACAAAGAAATTTTTTTTAGTATATATAGATAAAGACTAAGACACGAGCTTGAATATTGAGAAGCCAAAATGGCCGCGAGTAGAAGATAATATTATCATCAGGATGCATCAAGGGTGGTAATCTACGTAGGATGGTATGACAAGCGGCAGAAGGCTGTAATTGCCGTCAATTCACGGTGGCCTTGTGAAGGAACGTAAAGAAACCCGAGAAAGGTAGCAGATCAAGATGATGTGTTATCAGCGAGCACTCTTGTCTATGTATATTTATCAGCGTATGTGTGATGTATTTGTTTGATTATATCATATGACTATTAAGTACCGCAAGCTGCATAATCCCCCCCTAATTTATGTTTGCAAATGGACTTCTTAAACCCAATTTGACTACATGATTTGGGACTCAAAAAGAGACATGAACATCGAGTAAGAAATGTTAGCCACTTAAAGCAATATCCAACGGCGCATTACCCCGATAAATATGGAGCGTCCGACAGTAGTTAATACTCCGCGTGCCAGTACAGTCGAGTAAGGTACCTGTACAAAGCTCAATAGACTTGAAGCATCATGAATGGGAAATCAGGGAGTGATATTAAGCGAGGTTTTATTATTGTTTTTGTGAACTAACATTCGGGGATGACTGAGATAAATACATCATGTGGTGTTAACAGTCCTCTGTAGCCTTGGTAAATCCTGAACCGAAAGGCTCGATTTTCCTAGATAATTGAATAGCGGAGCATCAATATCGTCGGCCGGGAAAGTCAAAATATGCCACATACATGGCATTCTATAGCAGTGAAGTCCAACAAGGGGTTTATGGCATTGCACTACATATTGTTGGAATGTTAAAACTGCCATGATTCAAGACAAACCCTTTCTGGGCTTGCTACCCAGCAGATTGCTATTAAAAATTTAGAGGAAGCATTTCAGGCCATGAGGCATTCGGCTTTACGTACTTGAGACAAAATAAATTATCTACTGCAGATTGTAGATGCTACCTTACCATGCATAAATTAAGCGCTGATACATAATTGGAGGTCATCAGCTATCTCAATGTACATAAAAGGCAAATATTTCTGCTTTCTCCGTGAAGGCATATGAAGCGGCCATCAAAAACGCTCTTTTAGTATGAGTTTATTTACACATAAATACGCAGTACTCTTTTCACTTTCGCCTCAATTGTACCCTCGTGTCTAAGTTGCTGCGTTTACTTGTAATGAGTTCATCGTGAGCGATATCCGAAAGCCTCGGTCAATGCTAATTCCACATATTACAGCCATGCTACGAAGTACTCGTATTTATATTCCTGGCTCATTGCAGTGACATGATTTTTCAGGCTGCTACCCCAACTTCCCAGTTCGGAGGCCTGCATGCCCTGGCGGACTTTTGCAAAATGCGACGTTGAACCAACAACATGAGCACCGTGTGTCGTATCCACAAACAAATACGGCAAAGGGTTGTCCAAGAACACTAGCTCAAATCTAGGAGGGAGGCCCGAAACCGTCGTTGGGTGTTGCTCCTGACAATCGAAGGTCCCTACTACCTACTTGTACTACCTACCTGGATCCTTTCTGCTACTGCTGTTCTTTTGGCAGACAAATTCCAGCCAAAACGACTCATATTCAAGTATCTCATTTGATACATCACAGCATTTGTCTTTCCGGCGTTACCGGCTCCTCCACAATTGATGACACTTTTAGTGCAGTAGCGTACCTTTACAACGACTTCAAGCCCCCCATAGCTTACTGTGGATCTACCAAAGGTAGCCATAACAGGAATAGTACTGTATAGTGCAAGCTAAGCAAGTCCGCATAACTGTGCCCCCAGTAAGCCTGCATAATAAAGCTCACAATTTTGAAGTTTACCCTACAGTATGATCAGCTTAACCGTAATCCGTACACTCTTCTTAACAACACGGCAAGGCCAGCAATGGTTCTAGAATAAGCACAAAGTCTAGATTTAATATATAACGGAATTCGAGTGAACCATGTTTGTGAATGATGTGATGCTCCAGAGTGTCTTACAGCTAACCGAAGGGTAAGGTAAAATAATGAACGACAAAGAGAAAACTCAAGACATCTTGTTGACAAATGGAAAACCACAAAGACATTCACGGATGTGGTTATGTCAATCAAACTGAAGTATAACCCATTCAATATCACCTATTAATAAACGTGTTTCCACTTATAATTTCAGCAATACCTACAAGCTTGGTCGTCAAGGCACAAGTCGTTCGCTTATATACCGATAGTTCGTCATGGTCTATGCGGGCTTTGAGGAGAGATAGATCATGTAACCCGATAATATCGGGCAATATACATGTAGCACCTTGATTCATAGGATATATGGCACAGTGAAGCGATAAGTTTACCAATAAGCATGTAGAGGGCCCTTGCGCATGCGCAACCTAACATGCCGTGTAGTTTTGAGACGAGGCAGGTATATAAATTATTAACAGATCTGTCGTTGCGGAGAGAATATTGGGAGCGGTGATCTTCAAGTTTTCATGATCCGCGCAATTAATCGTATCCAACGTAGCATCTAGTCGGCTACAATACTAATATGGTGGTGAAAGCTATATGTACTGCAACTCTCGCCACGGTGTTAACAGGGTCATTCCAAAATGTTGATGCGGCATGCAAATGTGTAGGTGACAGGGCCCTTCGAAGCGTGCATTTAACAACTCACTGGATGAAAACGAGACTTTTTCTAACATGGTGGAATCTCCGTAGCCATATGGTGACCGTTGCTGGCCTTCCGACCAGGCTTGGGCGTCACTGAACAATACATTGTCTGGAAATTTGATCAGAACCGTTCCATCTGCCGCGCCGTGTTATTCTGGGCCACATCAAGATACAGAGGCTTGCGCCTTCCTTCAGGCAAATTTCTACGACTTAGCATTTTATGCAAACTTTCCAGGTGGCTATGATTTCCCACATGAGTGGTCGTACCATGTTCCAGGACGAAACTCTTCGACATGCTCTCTCGGGGACACTGCTGTATATAGCATCAATGCCACTACACCTGCCGCTATCAGCGCGGGGTTGAAGGTTGCCGCTAGGTATAACATTCGTGTTTCCGTCAAGCAGAGTGGCCATGACCTTCTCGGTCGTTCCAGCGGAAGAGGAGGTATGTTGATATAGATTCAATATCTGCGAGATGATTCCGCCAAACCATTGGAATTTAACAAGGCTCATGTTCCCACGGAACCATGCGCCGATGTCCAACTAGGTGGTGCTTCCTACTGGGGCGGTAGCGCCGCGCGCATTGGCGGAGGCTTCACCTCGGGAGATGTTTATCCAGCTGCTCACAAAATTGGTGTTGTCGTCGGGGGTGGCACCTGTTTCACGGTTGGAATTATCGGTGGGTATCTCCAAGGTGGTGGACACAGAGCAGCAATACATGAATATGGCCTTGGATCTGACCAGATCCTGGAATTTAACGTCGTTCTGGCTAATGGCTCAAAGGTTCCAGCCCAGATTTGTTCCAGGCTCTTCGTTTGGCGGAGGTCCTAGCACATACGGCATCGTCACGAGTGCAACAGTCCGCACATATCCAGAGACCCCCATGGTCGCGCTCATCTTGCAAATCACCCCACAAGAGGGTACAGATGACTTAGACACCTTTCTTGACGCTATCACTACCTGATATCAACAAATACCAGCTCTTTTGGCTGGTGGTGTGCAAGGCTACGCGGGGTGGGCGGCATGGGATGAAAAGTCATCTCTGGGGCCACCGTCTCGTATGCTTCAGCAGGCCGCGGGTGTTTTCAACCAAACACTCGAACAAGTGCAGAGAACAATGGAGCCAATCCTGAAGAAGCTAACAGTATTTAAATCCCCGGGAATTGATGACTCAGTTGATTACCTGACTTTTCCCGACTGCTATGCATACTTAGCCGGACTGATACATTATGACGCGGAGGTTGGCGGAGGTATCCTCATGTCTTCTCGTTTGTTCGAGGAGAAGAATTCAGCCAATGTAACGGCGGTACGGCAAATGGTCGAAGCAATTGCCGGTCTACCGGGACAGAATACATCGGCCGTCATTTACATGACTGGCGGTGGTGCCGCGACCAAAGAGTTACCGCGACCAAAGAGTTACCGCTCTCAGGTGTCAACCCCGTGTTCCGCCGAGCGCTGTTAATAAACATTGTCTCCCGCAACTGGGATATTTTGACACCAAACTTAGACACCGCGGCTGCTCAAAAGGATATCACATACCACAAAGGCAAGGCTCAAGCAGCTTTTGCCCCTGATACTGGTTCATATCTGAACGAAGGCAATTGGCTTGATCCTGACTATCTAACTAACCAGTTCGGAGCTATTTTGCCTACCCTTGAGGCTGCTAAAAAGAAATACGATCCCACAGATATCTTTTATTGCACTACTTGCGTGGGCTCCCAGCATTGGGAGGAAGAGGAAGATGGTTACTTGTGTACGGTTAAGGGGAGCTGATGGTCGTTCACTAGGTTTGTAGACTGGGCGGAAGAGTTGTGATTCGCTGTTGGACATCTGGTTATCGCAGTTTTATAGAAGAATTGAAGACTGAATAGTATCTTTTGCAAAAGAATATGTATATATAAGGTAGTTGGATGTCTATGTGCGTCAGAGCTCATCGACTGGAATACAAATTTTATACTCTACATCTTCTAACTCTTTCAACATGGGCGAGAGATTGTTGAATTATGTAGGGAAAGGGAAACGAAATTTGATAGCATTCAACTCTCCTAAATCGTAGCACCGACATCAAGAGCCATCATACCGTGTACTTGTTATCTGCATCTGCATCACGCGACCTTTCCTGAAATGTCATGTCGATACTAACAGTCTTCTTGATGCCCATTATCCTTTCTTCGCTTCCTTCACTTTTATAGTTTGTCTCCAAGTCATCCATACCATCGTCGAAGTCGCCACGCCTCTTCGAGTGGTTGGATTGACTGTTCCAGTTGTTTGATCGAGCGCCTTCGCCGTGAACACCATCACTTAGCTCGTACGAACGGTCATGCTTTGTAGAGCCAAACAAGAAGGGAATAAATCGAGCCAGTGGCATTCTCAGCGAAGGTGTACAGGCACAAATCACGCCGACCGTGGATTCCACTTGAGTCCAGATGACTGATGTTCCAGTTGCCCAGGTGAAGTCCTGGATGAAAGTGGCATTGAAGTTGAGACTAATCAGTCGTTCGATACTAGTGATGCATACACTTGAGAGAGACGTTAGAAATGCGAGACAAGAATTATCTGGAGTACTCACAATGCCCCAAGAACAAAGACAGCGATGACGCTGATCTTTGCTCGACGATTCATCTGTAATTTTAAGATTACAGGAACTGGCAAGACGAGAACGACGACGTCCATGAAGGTGTTCCATCCAGATTGGCCGTACCAAAATGCTTTAATGTTGATGCTGGACCAATATTAGCCGTGCATTACCTCTAAGACGAGCAGGATGACTGACCAATGTCCGGGTATGGTCTTGTCCCACGAGTACTTAACCGGAGTGCACTGAAAGATTGTGGTAAAACTGAGGGCAATCAGGGCGCAACCTATCTGGATAATAAGTATCCAGCAGATAATCCGAAACTTTCTCTGCGGAAAAATGTCGAGGTATAAGAAGAGAAACGACAACTTAGTTATTGCGACGGTGTTCTTGACAAAGCACTGAAATATGAAAAAGTATAGCAAGGAGTGATATCGTTGTTCTGCATTGAGATAAGGAGCGTGATGTCCAAAGCCCCAGTTCAAAATGGCTGAATGGTTCGGTTAGCAGCAGAACATGATTGATGCGGCATCGAACAGCCCCTACCAACTGTTATACAGGCTGTTTGAATAATGTTGAAGATCTATTTGCGATTTAGCCGCATGCAAAAGACATCTGTTAAAACGGCATCATTACCAAGCAGATGACAACGCAAACATCGGCCTTGTTCAACGCGCCACCGCCGTTTTTGATGCACCGCCACCATACACGAAATCCAACAATACCCGTCGCAAGGACGAGTAGAGGTATATTCACGTATATAAAAGTGTATCCATTTTTCGTATCTGGGCCATTGGGCACGGTGACTGCCGTTGCCGTCATGGTATTGGTTGGATGTGAGAACAATGAAAAGACAAAGGAATGATAATGTGATGAGAGGTTAGCGATACCGATCTCAGGTACTGCTGCAGCCTATCATTCTGGTTCGCTGTTAGGCAAGGATTGGACGATTGAATCGCACTCGCAGCAATCAATCTGACAGAGCCCACTATCTATAAGGAATCGTCGACCTTGGACAGCGAGACATTGCTCTTCCGCTAAGCTCATCCTTGATCCTGGCTTCACTAGATGAGGTGGACCAAGCTTCGTCCGAATCCGTGGATGTCCCAGCCCCAAGGGGCGCCCTAGCATTGTCCCAAGATACAACTAGTACTACTGTGACAGCCTTGTTAGTGGCGGAGATCAGATGTAATCTAACTCAAAACGAACGGTAAGTCATAAAATGGACAGGATGTTCAAGTCCCCAATGCGTGTGAAGTAGGTAGTAGACTGCTGGTGTAGGTAATGTAGAACGGTTCGCTCTTACATTATGCCGTTGTCCTCACAACCATATCGCCCATCATACAGCTGTAAGTATTGGAGCATGAAAAAAATATCGCCGATTGAACTTGTCCATGAAACGCATCTAAATTTATTTACAGCTGCAGCCGTTGATGTGTCGACTCTGGCCTAACAACCTGTCCTACGAGGCAGCATGCCGTGATGTGCAGTAACTGCACTTGCAAACTGCTAGTATTAATGCCAACAAGGGATCTAGTAGGCACAACCCGCTGCCGGGTGTTATCCGGACCAGTGGCTGAAACATACCCCAGGGGAGTGCGGCGTTCCTCCTGTCCATCGCCCTGGCTGCGGAAAAGGGGCTAACGCGTGGTGATACCTCAGCCAATTGTCGAACAGTGGCTTGAATGATCACTGACCGACATCTGACAGGTCTCGAACACTACATTGGTAGCAATGGTGGCTGAAAAACTGCAACCAATGTGTAACTCATTCAGGTAGCACTTCGAAAGCTGAATTCAGCCCAGGAGACCCTGACAAGCTAAGCCAATATTAAGTATGCACTGTGGTATAACTGCTGTTTTAGCTTTGAAGATGAAGCGCAATTACGCGTGCAGTCATTTCTCACTTAAGAGATCATTATTATTAAGATTGTGAGAGCCGAAGAGCGGTACATACGAGCACGTACCACTCGTGGAATACGACAGGAAATACGCTTTGTTCAATACTCTCACTACGAGTACTACCTAGTTGACAAGTCTATGCGTAACAACCGAATTGTTACAGTCTAATTACTTAACGTTTATGCCGTTTCATGCTACTACTGTTGTATTGCAGCAGCGGAACGCGGAAGCTCCGTAGATAGTGAGTAACGGCCATAGTACAAAAAAAAGTGATTTCTGATTAATTTTGTGCCTCAAAATCTTGAACAATTTTGTGGCTCTGGCTTGGTATTAGTACTACTCGTATTTCGACAAGACTTGAGTCCAGTGGCAGTCACAGAGAAAAGGTTTCAAAACGAGGGTGCTGCTTCAGCCAGAGCCTTAGCTAACAAATCGGAAATCCATTGCTACAGTACATGAGCTGAAGAATTAGTGGAATCAAAAGATCGATAGAGCCTGAGCTTGACTTATAATGGCATAGAGGTGAGAAAAAAGATTTCCCATGCAATACGACTCTACGGTATGTGTGTTGGTTGCAAGTGTAGAATTCTGAAGTCCGTCCCTTGCTAGTGTAGATAGACGCGTGTCTGGACCAACCCGCCATGGATGCTTGCTGTATGCAGCAAGCCCTTTTCGTCTTGTTCCCCCTGCGATCAAGAAATCCTGTGCCGAATGGCCTGATCTCGAACATTTGTGATGTTATGCAATCGCCTCTCCTGTTGATTATCACATTCAACAGAAAGGGGTCTGACTAGGCATACGAGTATGCCTACGGGAGTTTATTTCTGTCACGCCCTGTGGTTTGTCAACATGTGTGTGGAGACTTGTTTTCTACGTAATACTTGTACGGTCTTTGGCCAACTCGTACGAGTTTGGAATACAGGCAAATCCTGAAAATGCCTCTCCAGTGAAATAGGGTTACACGGGCTACCTAAGGCAATGCTAGTACAGGTACTAGGCGAACTGTTGCTATACCGTAAAACCTCGCAAAACTCGTTTTGTGGGTCTCCCCATACTTATACCCTGTTTTGATCGAGAGAAACGAGTTTTGCGAGGTTCTACGGTACCAAAAAGTAATGCCTCCTCTGCACCCCGTTGGTCTCGGTAGATGAGAGGTACAAACAAGATGGTATGTAGATATTTTGTCAGGTCGCCCCACTCGCGGAAGCAAGGTGGCAGACCAAGATTTCGTGAGGAAGGGTCCTGTTCCAGGGTCCAGGTGACAGGGTCACGGCCGAGAGCCTGTGAGGGCACTCCGTGATGCCGCCGGCTTTGAGCTAGGGCCAGACCTTGAGTCTTCGCAACATAAACTTCTTTTGTAGCGCTGTGGATTCCCCCACAACGCGCCAGGCAATTTCCTCCCGGCCGTGGTCTTGCACGGGCCGCGTCCACCGGGAATCCCATCCGTTTGTGATTCGGCAGGGGCCCCTTGCCCCGGCCTAGTATCCACGTCCGCGACGCAAGCGTGACATTCTAGGCATTCTGTAGCTGAACCAACAACCAAAGGTGTGGAGAGAAAGTGAGGTAATCCGTGATGAGTTTGCCGGCTTGGGCGCGTGGATGTGGATGAATCTGGCTCAGCACAGTGTGTGATCACTGGCTGCGGTTGGCCGAAATGGGCTTCTTGCAACGGCGGCCGTAGCAGAAGCTACTGGTGGGAGGGGGTTGGTATCAAAGGTCAAGTCTTCTTTAGGCAGCGCACATTCTGTTCTTCTTCGATTTATTTTCTACAACTACACACCCTGTCAAGACACGGCAGAAGTGTTCCCAACCGTACGCAGCAACACACACGGAACGCAATCATGGAATTAGATGCAGAGGTCGCAGCAGAAAAGCCTTTGGGCTTAGTCTCGATGTCACCCTCTGACACGACGACTGCGGATGCAACAGAGTCCCTCTCCAGTGCCGAGTATCGTAAGCTTATCTGGAAACTCGACGTGCATCTCCTGCCGCCACTCTTTGTATTATGGTTCATCTCCTTGATTGACCGCGTCAACATTGGCACGGCGAGGATCCAGGGTCTTGAGAAGGACCTGGGGATGAATCCTTTGACCAACCAATTCAACATCGCAACCGGTAAGTTTTGCGCCACAAAAACCTGGACATAATTGTGTCTGACTTCGTGTTTCCCTAGTTGTCGTCTTCATTGGCCTCATGCTGGCAGAGGTAGTCACGCCCAACCAACCAACATCAATTTATATCTTACTCACACGCGAGAGCAGGTTCCAAGCAACTGGCTGGTCAAAAGATTCACACCGTCTACCGTGCTCTGTGGTGAATGCATAATTCTCGGTAAGTTACACAGTCGATCCGATTGACGAGGTGCTCATATCGGGTAGGGATCTTCACAATTGTTCAAGGCCTGCTCAAAAACTTTGGTGGCCTCGTTGCTATACGGCTTATCATTGGCATCTTAGAAGCGGGACTGATCCCTGGTTCCATCTTCTTGCTGTCAGCATATTACCCAAGATACGAGCTGCAATGGCGTGTGAGCATGCTCCATGTGGGCAATGCGCTCTCCAACGCCGTCGGCGGACTGTTGGCCTATGCTGTTGCCGGCATTCATTCATCAAATGGATGGCATGGATGGAGATGGATCTTTGTCATTGAGGGTTCGATCACGATTGCCCTCACGTTATTGTGCTGGCCCTTTATGAATAACTGGCCAGCCACAGCGAAATGGCTCAAGCCGAGTGAGAAGGCCGTCTTGGAAGAACGCATTCGTCTCGACGGCATCATTGGCCGTATGGACGTGTTGGACCGCAAGGCTGTCATCCGATGCCTCACAGATTGGAAGATTTATCTCAGGTAGAGTACTTCCGGAGCGGGCTGCATTTCATAGTTGTGCTAACACAAAGGTTTAGTGCTTTCATCATTGTAGGCGTCATCTCGAGCGTCTACTCATGCACTCTGTTTGCCCCGACGATCGTCTCGGTTCTCAAGCCCGGATCCTCTTCCAAGAAAATCCAGTCCCTGGTAATTCCAATCTTTGTTGCGGCGTCAGCCACCACCCTGGCGTGTGCATACATCTCAGACAAATTAAAACACCGCGCTGGCGTCGCCATTGCCGGCTGTTTTATTGCAATCATTGGCTATATTATCATTCTCAATCAAGAGCACGTTTCGGTCAATGTACGATATGGAGCGTTGTATTTTATCGCTTCCGGTTCTTTTGCAGCCTTACCTGGAGCTTGGATCCTGCTTTTAAACAACGTTTCCGGATCTTACAAGACGGCCTTTGCCATGGGTATGGAGATTGGTCTGGGCAACGGTGGTGGATTTGTTGCGTCGTTCTCCTTCCAATCTAAAGCGGCCCCATTTTACTGGACAGGATTCAGAACTACCTTCTCCCTCATGTGCATGGCAATTGGGCTAATCTGCTTTTATGTGGCTGGCCTCTGGTATGAGAATCGGCAGAAGCGATTGGGGAGGCGGAACCACCTGCTGGAGGAAGAGGGCGATAATCTGGGAGACGCCCATCCCCAGTTCATCTACACATACTAGAGTTGCAAACCGTTGGGATCAGTACGAATGGGCTATGTGCTACTAGGAAATGGTACACGCCGTTTGAATTGGTGCGAATATTTTGTCATTGCTTTTCTAATAATAATCATTTTTACTTCTCCATAGCGAACTCAGAATATGTTAATCTCAGAGTACGGATCAACAGAGGCCCTGAAACGGGTACCACAGTGTCTCCTCCTTTCACAACAGTACTCCTCAACATAAGCGGTCAGCTACTATCTTGAATACGGCCAGTCCAGTGACCATATGTAACTGTGCTATTTAGTGCCTGGTGAGCCATGCTAGATGAGCATACAGGGGCCAATTTGCCGGTTCAACCCTTCTATGATACGGATGCTACGGTGACAATGCCAGGGAACAGATGATGCCAGCGTCCGCGGAGTATTATACGGAGATATCTTTCAAATGTCGCTGTGTCAGCACACCACAGTACGTCTCACCTCTTCTGTGCTCCTTGATTCTTCAGTTGGGTAGATAAGTCAATGTACGTATGTAGGTGCTCGTGCTCCAAAGAGGCTTTGAGAGCTCATGTTTTAATGACCGGGAGTAGCCGGATACGTGTAAACCATGTTGGAAGAGGGGAACATGTTCAAATTTAGAAACTTTAGCCATTCCTCTCAATGACGAATCAATGCAGTACACGGACCGGAACTACCCCCCTTTTTACTACAGTAAGTCTCAGACCATATATCAGCAATGGAAGGTCTAGAAGCCTTGGTTCAGTTCAAAAATCCGGAAAAGGTTGATGCAGCACTCTTAGAGGGTGTGACAGGGATCATGTGCCTGTTACCGGCCGAACGGCTCAGCGTAAGATCAACCAAATGCATCAAAATCTCAATCTAGGCACCAATACTGAGCACAGTGTATGGTGAGTAAAATAATACCGCTCGCACGACCGCATTGTGGTAGGGGGTTTCTCAGGCGAGGCTTCTGGGCATTTTATGCAGGGGTACATATAACAGAGAATTCTACTCCGTAGCATTCCGGGAATGGATATCACACCCGGGCTCGTGCCCCCGCCTCACGAACCATTGCACGCTAGTATCGTGCAATTCATTGTGACCGGGACAATGCGTGTGCTTCCCCGAAGGATTGTTAGCCGTAGATAAGACGAGACCAAGTTCCAAGGTTACACTCAGCTAGTTTTCTCACACTTTGGAAACGCCGCTACCTACTAGAACTCCGGCTCACGATTTTACCGCTTGCCTCATTGGCAGCATACCAAGGACATCCGCTTTCATTTGGTTACGGTTGTGCTGTTCAGCGTTATTGCAAGAGAAAATGGGTTCCGTACAAGATCGAGAGCCTATTGATATAGCGATCGTCGGTGGAGGGATTGGCGGGCTCGCTTTAGCTATTGGCTTGCAACAACATGGCCATATCGGAATCAAAATCTATGAGGCTGCCTCTAAGTTCTCCGAGATTGGGGGTGAGTACTAGCCCCGTACCGTGAAAGCGAGTTGATAATTAAATTACGGTATTTCTACGTGTATGAATGACCGTCACTGAAACATGGTAGCCGGCGTCTTCTTTGGTGCCAATTCTATTCGGGCCATGAGCCTTATACACCCGACTGTTGGAGAGGCCTACTCTAGAATATCGACGAGCGTAGGCTGGGAGTCAAAGAAGGATACATACTTTGATTTTATACTTGCACACGAGCTTCATGGCCTACCTACTGGGACCCACATCATATCCCCCAAATTGTCGGAGACTGAGCGCCACAGCACGGCTCACCGTGCCCATTTCGTGGACGAGCTCATCAAACTTGTGCCTGGAAGCATGGCCGAGTTTGGCAAGAGATTGACAGACCTTTCACGGGATGAGAATAGAGGCAAAACTATACTCAAATTTGCTGACGGCACTACCGCAGAAGCGGACGCGGTTATTGGATGTGATGGCATTCGGTCCGTATGCAGGGAGTTTGTGCTGGGAAAAGGCAATCCCCTCTCCCAGCCGACGTTCACAGGGAAGCATGCCTATCGCGGGCTTATACCAATGGACAAAGCTATTGCTGCCATAGGAGAAGAGAAGGCCCAGAACCGCTTCATGTTTATTGGCAAAGGGGGGCATGTGCTCACTTTCCCCGTAGCTAATGGCGATGTAATGAATGTCGTTGCATTCAGCACGACTAAGAGTGGAGTGTGGGAGGGCGAATGGGTTAAGCGAATGGAACGGAAAGATTTAGCAGCCGACTTTGGGGGCTTTGGGGAGGAATGTCAAAAGATATTTTCGGTATGCTTGGCCAACAAAGCAGTGGCTAAAAGCGAAGTTCAGTGTACTGACTGAGGACTTAGCTCATGGAGAGTACCGACCACTGGGGAATCTTCGATCTTTCCCCGGAATTCCCAACGTATTCGTCCCAAGATCTCCGCCTCCTGCTCCTGGGCGACAGCGCACACGCATGTGCTCCTCATCAGGGGGCCGGTGCCGGCCAAGCATTGGAAGACGCGTATATCCTCTCCCACGTCCTCGGCGAGTGTCGCTCGGCATCTGATCTTCTCGCCGCATTCAAGGCTTACGAGAGTGTGCGCATGCCACGGGCCAAATTTGTCCAGATCCATGGGCGCCGACAAGGAGAACTGTTGGATCTGCAGAGACCTGATATAGGGGACGATCTTGAGAAGTTAAAGGCCGTTATTGATGTCCCAATCAGAGAGATTTGGAACTGCGATTTGGGTGCAGAGTTAGAGAAGGCATTGGCAGCGATGAAGGCAGAATTGGGGAAGGAAGGAGCAGAAAAGCGACCGGCTATATGAGCAATGATTGATTGACAACATTCCGTATGGATTTACCCATCGCGAGAGGAGAAAGCTTCTCTGAACTCTCAGTTATGAAGACTCACCAATGAGTCAAAAGAATGCAAACATTCCCCGCCGGTTGTGATATTATTCATCCCACAATACCATCTCTCGTCCTCCAATATTCCATAATCAGTGCCACAACATCTATCAACTTCCTCAATCACGTACTAACGGCAAGCATTAATCTATTTAACAGAAAATTAAAATTTGCTATATAGCTTACTCAAGCGTTTTCCAGAACTCTTCAATCAACTTGGCCACCTCGGGAACCTTTTCTCGTACAACAGCGTGTCCAGCTTGTGGTACGACCACATAGTTCTTCATCCCAACACTGAGTAGATCCTGTCCGCTAACTATATCGTCCAACTCTCCAAGAATACAGAAGTTTTTGATACCTGTGTTCGCTGCTTTCAAAAATTCGCCGTCATTGTCTAAAACGCCGCCATCTCTGAATATGGCCACTACACTCGCTGCGTGACCCTCATGGTTCTTCATTTGCCAGTCTCTGACTGCCTCAGCAACCACCTCACCTTTGTTAACTCTCTCTTTCCAGTCGGCCGGGACAACCAGGTCTCCGCCCTCCAGGAGTTGCAGAATCCACTCTTTCGCTTGCTCTTCTATGCCCTCGCCGCCGCGCAAGTAGTTTCTATGTAATTCTTCAAGTTCTCCTTGTCGGATGAAACCAGCCGGTGCAACAAGAGCCATGGAAGCCACACGTTCTGGTTTTGCCGCAGCAAAACTCGCAGTTGCTGATGCGCCGAATGAGAAACCAACCAAGTGAGCTTTCTCCCACTCAAGATGCACCATTACAGATTCCAGTAGACTGTGGAATAGAGCCGCATCGTGAGCTACTAAAGGGGTGTCTGTGAGCCCATGGCCCCAAAGGTCAACAAGCACGCATTTGGCAAATGGAAAACGAGCAGAGAGAGCCCTTGCTAGCGGCTGCAGGCCAATTGCGGAGGTCTGGATGCCATGCACAAAGAGGACACGGGATATCGCACTTGTGGCATCTGCAGGCCGAGAGGACGAGGGTAGCAGCTCGTAAATTGCGACTCTGCCATTCTGTGTTTGTAGAAATGATGCTTGAGGCATTAAACGGCCAAATGTTGCAACGAAGGCGCTTTCAGATGGCGCAGATATCGATCGCAGCTCGTCAAGCGGTGCAACACCGGGACGCGGTAATACCAACAAAGGAGTTGACATGTTTATGCTGAATTGGCGTCAGCCGAGTGGGATATATACAATGCAGATATTTAGACTTTTGGGGAGAGGAGCAACGAGGGAAACGTCCCGAGGGATAATGAAAATATTCACTCAATATAGCAATTTGTCACCAAAGCAAAAAAGGCGCTTGCTTAGCAATGGAGCATCGCGCACAGCTGACGAATTTACGTAAGATTAGTTACGAATATGCTTACACTTATCCAAGTATGGATACCTTTTAGATCATTGGCTTCGTCTGTGACAATATTAGCTTATTGCATTATCCCATAAAAGAGATGGCTGGCCTTGCACTGAAGTTTCTGTGGGGGGAGAGAAAGAAAGAAGATGAACGGAAAGAGAAGAAAAGAGAAATAAAGAGTAAAAGAACAGAAGCGGGACAAGGTAACGCCAATTTGACGGATCTACCCTAATATTTTGAACGAACAATTGAGTATATTATATGGCCTAGCCTATCCCCATGACATTGGTCCTTTGCTTTTATGGACACAACAAGCGCCCAGGCCTATTGACAATAGGAAAATATTCTTTTCTAATCGCAGCATATGATTGTCTGCAACGGAGTCTTCATGCTACCTTCTCTTGGTTTTTCTTTTCTTTTTTCGGCTCACTGATCGGGGCTGTCGTCTAATGAGAACAGGCCTCCTTCATTATATTATTATTTCCTCCAGCAGTGTAGGATTCCGAATCTGTACGGCCGACATCACGCTATTTTCCAACCTCGAATATGGAGATGTGTACCGTCTTGATCTAACAAACAATCAAGATCCTCGGGCAATTGACCAACATTATTATTTATGCTTTCCCGAAAGCAGCTTTTGGCAGTCGCGCTCGTTTACTCCATTTAACGCATCCTGAGTTGAAACTAGACTCGTGAAATACTCATACATCATTTGCGCAAAATATGCAGAGACCAAGAGATTGCTCAGCTCTGTGCAGGCAAATTGAACTCAGGGAAGTGTCCAGATAATAAATCCACAGCATTCATATTGACTGGTCCGTATGAAACACACAACTATGGACAATATCGAGCCTCATAGCAATGTTTTATGTGTTACGGGAGGCACCAGTATCACGTAAGGTTTGCCGGTTTTACTGGAGCTTACACAATTTCTGCGTCCTGTAAGAGCTAAGCTTAGTTTAATGTGGAGTATTAAGGAAATACGGATCTGAATTGGGTCGAAAATAGAGCTAAATAACCTTCAACAAGCTCCGGGGGACAAGAACATTGACATCGATATCTTCGTCACCTAGGGCATTATAACGAAGAACGAGTCAAAGGGAAAGCAGCTGCACCCCACTGATACTCATTTAGCAGGTGTAACCAGTATCGAATCTTCTGGCGCGACAGATGACAGAAACCGGGGCCTATCTCTACATCAAGGCGATGGGGTCAATGGTCATCGGCGTCCAGAAGTTGCTAAGTTAATTGGTGAGTTCCTACAGAGCACAGTCAAATGACCAACCATCGTATTTGCTAGTGGTCCGGGAGCTATGATTAGCGACGTTTATGGGGCTGTTTCGAGCTTTAATTCTCCAAATAAAGTATGGGGTGGACAACAACGGTACGCCGTAAAATTAATTGGCGAAGATCGTATGGAGTTGTAGCAATTCCAAACGACGTTTTCAGCTTATTCAATTAAAGATTAAGTAGAGATAATAGGTCAACCGACGAAAAGGATACTTTCTCCGTCGAAACTTTGCTCAATCTTACGAACGTCTTTGATGGGATCCAAAGACGCTGTAGATATTGGCCTTTGCATTTAATTATATATACTGAGCAAATAGGCATTCAAGATCATGCTCTTCAAATGCCTGTGCATCTTTCTTCCAAGCGTTCAGCAAGACGTCTCTTCCGATTTTGGCAATATTATGGCCTTCCTCAGGCGTCCCCCATCCAGGTGTCGTAGATCCAATGCATATTAGGTGAGCACCGACATGAACGAGCACGCGAAAGATGAAATCAGTATTAACCTTGCCGTATCCTTCCACAAAGCCGCGGATAATCCAGAGGGCAGCATTTATATGCTTGTACAGTTTCAGCTGCCATAGTTCGGCAATCAGCTGGCCGAGGTCTTCGGCTCGTACACCAACCTGCGCCATTTCCCAGTCAATAATCCGAACTGGAACCAGTTGGTCATCTGCAAAAGCAATATTTGGCAGCAGCACACTAGAAGTAAGAAAAATGTCAGTCTACATCCCAGCAGCGAGACGCTGCATGGAGCTATGTTGCGCTCTCAACTTACTTGCCAGTCCAAAAATCACCATGGATAGCACTTAGTTGGCTCTGATCTGCCAGCTCGGCCGTGGCCATGTTGACAATTTCCTGTAAAACATCCTTACACTCCTGTAGAAGGTTTGGGAACATGTTCACCCTTCCAAGTAGCTGGTCATAGTTAATGAGCTTTTTGATGTTCTGCATGTCTGTATTCTGCGCGAACAGATCACGCAGACCCTGCCGCTCTGGTTGGTCGCTCCAGCTGTGGAATCCCCGCAGCCATTGACCTAAACCCTGTCCAAGCTGAAGGCACTGTGGTTTGACTACCTCAGAAGTAGCAAATTGGTAGTGGCGGAGAGCATAGTCTTTGAGATTGACAGCATTAGACACGTATTCCTGAATCTGAGTACTACTTTCAGGGTTGAAGTGATACAGTTTCAGAGTCCCAACTTCGTATGTGGATGAAGTTACGTGTGGAAATTGTGAAAGAAACCGTAGGCTTTCCTCTTCAATGTTCTATTCATAATAAAAAAAAAGCACGCAAATCGCGAATCAGTATCAATTTTTTCTAGGTATGTGGAAGACCAATAGGAGAACTCACGCATCGAACCATTTTTAGTTTGAAGTCGGGATGTTGCGCAACATACGCTTCGCCATGTTTCAGCACAACCTCGGACACACCGTCTGATAGAGGCTTCTGGAGTTTGGCATGGTAAATGAAGTTTGCAGTTCCCCCGGACAGAGGCGTGAAAGACGATACGGCATATTCTGTACCTTCCAATTCCTTTTGCACCGTTTCTTGAATCTTTTCATTCGTCTTTTCTGCCGACATGATTGGAGACTGGGGATTCGATGCGATAGCCTGAACAAGATATAAGGGCGGTGAATTATCCACCGGGAGATTGTGCTTCGGTTGATAAAAGAATTGTCCGTCAATAGAAGAAGCGAGAAGATATCGGAACAATGGGGAAGGCTTTGCCTTCCCCGGTCATATATACTAGAGTACATATATACAAAATCTAGGTCGGTAGGAAGTTCAAAATGTACTCCGTACCGAATGAGCTTACAGATTTCTCCATACCCCATACAGCTAGGACGAAATTGCAGCCTTTCGCCGGTGAGTCAGAGCTTTAAATGTCTCAAATGCGGAATGGTCTGTAGAGTGTGGCAAGTGTCTTTCGATGCCCCCAAATGCTATATTCAACATCCATCAACTACCCTCTTTATTACACCAAAAAACACTTTACTGCAGAAGATCCGATGCTCTCTTCGGAGGATACCGCTTTTCGCAAGTACGTGGAGCTTTGCTCACATCACTTTGGGGAAAACCTACCTAGCCCGGCATGTGACAGAGGAACAAACGATTTGTTATCCCACCTTCCACAGAGGATTGCTGTTGCTGAGCCAAGTTCCTGTTGCCACAGTCTCAAGTATAGGGTGACATGCTCCCGTGCAATTTAGCTAGCGTCTCCAGGTATACAGTGCTCGGGGAGAGGCTCAAAAACACGCTCGTCGTCAGTACCTGTTGATCGTAGCGCGATTTCACTGTTGTGAGGGGCCAGTGAACCTGGGTCAAATCTACCTACCCCGCAGAGAAAGAAATAATGAAGAGCCCGAATGAATGTTCAAGAAACCGAGAAGATTGCATATACGCAGGCTCCAGATCATACCTAATCACGAATTTGAAAAAGCTCAATATGTTCATTTAAAGCCCCTAATGGAATGCCATCGCGAATCGCTTGTTGATGGGCAAGTAGAAAGGCATCTTTAGACTAGGCCAGGAAACTGATAAGGTACCAATTTGAAGCGTTGACTCAGAGAGGACCCAAGTAATTAATGCGCGCGCCTTACTGTATGTACTTGTACGTGAATCATACCCTACGAGGCTTGATTGGGAAACAATCTCCACTACAGTCGTATCATACCTACCGTTAGCTGTGTCGTTTTGCGATCGGTTCATGGCTATATTGCGAGGTATACATCTTGTAACCCCAGCTTCGTTGTGGATTTAAACTTGCGAGTCATCAGTTGAGGCTGCTTCTTACTGCCGTACAACTCCGCTAAGAACTGTTTCTTATGCCTAGGTATCTTAAGTACGATTGGGAATATAAGCCCGCTGGTTGGAAATGAGAAGAGTCAGCGTTGGAAAAGAAGACTGATGAGCATTAGAAAGATTTGAGGGACGCTTTTTAACGCCCTTACTAGGTACCAAAGTAAAGCAATTGTATATAAAATTTCGGTTAAGCAGGACGATCTCTCATCCGTATGGCAAGGGTCAATGTTGCATCCCTCTCTCTAGAAGCTTTCGAGACTTCACATATTTGCCACTTCGAAAACGATAGAGACTCTTGCATAAATGTTCTAAATAACGCCATGAGGTAAACTTTGCTGATGTTGGCAAACAAAAAACAGGGATGGGTAGATCTTGTATGTAGATAGATTAAATCACATGCAGTACTGTAAATATCCGGAGATTATAGCGGGCACAGCCAACTAAAGTTATCAGGGTGCTCTTAGCCCGCCGCGGAGCAAATCAACCATCACAATATTCGTAAATCCTTACGCCAATATTCTGGAACAAAATGTCACCATGATTCAGATATTCATACTATTACGTATATAATATTATGCATAAAAGAGATAGAAAAGAACAATTGATATTCGCCCGACTACTACATTATCATCTTTTCAGATGCTGATTATGGGTGCTACATTAGACCACTACTTACTCCAACCAGAACGTCTTCATAGCCCTTGGCTCAACCGTCACCTTGAGGCTGCTGCCACTAATCTTGTACCGACTCTGCAAAGTAACGTTGTGGCTATTATCGGTCAAGTATTCGCTTAATTTTCTCTTTTTGATACCCTCTAGATCGATAGTCAAGTCGTAAGGGAAGTGAGCCGCATTAATGACGGGGATTGCCACAGTACCATTCTTGTTGACATAAGCGGTCACATAGACATTTTCTACGTTGCTTGTTGCATCAATGCGTACAGAGCCTGGTCTAGCAAATCGGAAATACTGTGCAAAAGCCCAGAGTCGAGATGATACTTCGTAGTTGTCGCGGTCGAGCCGAATGAGAGCATTGTCGCCATTGGTGTTCTGTGCGCACCACCAGTGAGTGTAACCCGAGGTGTCGCTATTCACAAAAGCATTGTGCATATATAACGCCCATTGAAGGCCCTCACTAGCATGGATGAATTGTTAGCATCGACCTGGAGAGAAATGAGGACTATTCTAGTACAGAAGATACGTACGCAAGCTGGCCGCTGTAGTCCCAAGTGCTGTTCCACGGACCGGTCCCCTGTGATACGTGTGAGTCAAACGGTAGAAGAAATCTCAGGGCTTTAGCTTACATCAGCCCATTCTGTCTGAATGTTGGGCTTTCCGCCAGCATTGAATGGGCGCTCAGGGTTACTCTGGTAGTTGTGCCACGTCTGGAACTCAGTCAGATATCACATCGGTGTGTAGCTTAAGAGGGGCATAATGGAGAACAAACCGCAATGTCAAAAAACTTCTCTCCGCCAGCTTGCTGAAGCTCATAGAGAATGTTTCTTTCTTGTCTTGCGCCGGTTGCATCACAGCAGCTAACATCCACTTTCGGGAAAGCTTTTTTGAGTGTAGGATATAAGACTTCCAAGAAGTCTTTAGCCTGGTATCCGTCTGAGAGCATACTCTCATAGGTAAAAGGGTTGAAGTCAGGCTCATTCCAGGCACCCAGAAGAGAGACATCAATACCTTCTTCCTTGTAGAACCGGACGTATTGAACGAGATAATCGGCATATGCTTGGCGCCAATCGTGTTTGCAATTGGTGCCACGCACACCACATATTTGTCCACCCAAGTTCTCTGTCCCAACCGTCTTCATACACCCAGGAGCAGACCAAGCATCGGCGTAAACATAAAGGTTGGGGTTATACTTGAGAGCCGTTTTGGTAAGATTGAATTGGCAGTTATCGCTACCATCCCAGACATAGTTGAACTTGCCCTCTGGAGTGGCGGGACAAGTGGGCAAAATGGTGGTTCCCGGAGAGGATCCAATGTCGTTTCGGACAATAGACAGACCTCCAATATTTTCGTCAAAGAGAATTTGAGTGACCTTTTGTTGGTTTTCGGGCGACAAGCCAGAAGACCCAAACTGTTGACAAGCAATACCAAAAGCACCAGAACAGCCGCCTCCAATCATAGTCTGATAAGTTTGACGACCGTTAATCTTAATATTCGCTTTGTATTGGGAGTTGGTGCTGTATGACCATGCTGAGCCTTGACCTAGCAAGGCCAAGACAACTGAGATGGTGGAAATCATCCTGGATGAGGTGGAATAGAGATGAATGGGGAGATTGACTATCAGAACACTGCTGAATTAGATCAAAGGAGAAAATTATCAACTCCCAACACGACCATTATATCTCAACTGCCCTTTGAAACCCCTCCCGTGCTCTGACTTTGGTCTTACAATGGATACTCGTACATTTATCCGGTCACTATTCTGTACACATATTCGAATCCTTGTCGCACGACCTCTGAGGTTGAACCATTTAGCCTTTTTATCCGCGATGACGCTTTTTGCGGAGATGAGGCAGGGGTTCAATCAACACCAAGCCAATCGCGCACACCGGTTCAGGGCATCTAAAATAGCGATGAGTTTCGGTGTTGGTTAAACGGATGTATAAGATATCTATAGTGAAGATATATTCGATGACAAATATGTTTGTTACCTCTGATGTCATGCGCTGGAGATATATCTACCGGTGAGATGTCACTCCGGCATTAGCCTCAGCAATCAGCAGACCTTGAAGATGGGCTTCCCTGGCAACTGTTACTGGGCGCTGAAGCAACTATTTCCTTTGTATGAATATGATGCTGCGACGAAAAAAAGGTTCCCAACTTCTGCAAAGAACTACTATGCCAACGAAATAGCTGGGATGTTGACCAACAGGCTTTACGTAGCCCGTGTTTGCAAGCCTCAAAGTTATAACTGTCTTCATCAGACGACTACTAAGCCTATGCATCACAGTATGGTCAGTCTATACAGCAGAATGGAACTCATAAATGAATCTAGAATACTAAACTACGTCTTGTAGTAAATGCTTCTAACAAATGGTGTATGTTTTTTTCGGATACATTTCCCTATATTTTACATCTGAATGCCTTGTCTCTTCTCTCCATTCCTGAGCTCATCTCCCATTTTCCTTATTCCGATGAATGTAGGTTTCTTCTCCTGGATTCTCATTGACACAAATCCACTTTTCAGCTGTCTTGCGTCTGGCGCTTGGCTACTGGTCATAAACCTTCTATTGGCAGATGCTACCTCAATGATAGATCGGTTCCTTATTCTAGCCAGAACCATGTAATCTAGTTCCACACCATTTTCAAGTACGGTTTGTTGTGTAATCGCTCTGATGCACTGGGTACTATATCTAATAATAAGAGGGTAAAGTAGGTTGGTAATGGTAATGTAGAGGAAGAATGAGACTGCAGCATGTCAACTACGCTTAGATAAATAACCTCGGTAATTCATGACTACTTCTCCGTGGTGATATAAACTTCTCCTTACTCACGCAGTATGACCATGTACGGTACTCCTCGTCAGCAAGTTGGCTATGCCAAATGCTTGACAACCCCAGACTTCATAGGGGTAATGACTCCATTTTTGCGCCGGTGCCTGTCACAAACTCTTCTCCGTGTCCTGACCCCGCCCGCATACGCTATTTTTGCTCAAGGTAGGCCTTTGAAGCATCATCAACTTCATTGACCGAGTCAATTATATCTTGTACTATGACCTGAAGACCTTATAAGAGGGGAATCTCACCATCTAAATAAGAGAAACGCGTAGTAAACGTAGATCTGTATCCCCAGGATTGTTTATTTAATCCGGAGCGATATATTCATCGTCTCGGCAAACCGGCAACGGATGGCGCTATCGGGACTTTAGCCGATGCACCCCACAGACATTGCAGATACCGCTAGGCCAGGGATGCCACGCTTGATGACGAGAATCCAGGCAGTTTTACTCACAAGGCGAAATCATCATGTGGTCCCCATCTCAAAGCTATGCACTCCGTATTTCGTTTCAAAACAAAACTCATTGGGTTGACATTCAGGGAGCTTTTGGGAATACAAGTACATATGAGAGGTTCAAATGTTGACTTCGAGGTGTCTGTGATGAGAGTTGTCATAAGTTCCGGCTCACATAACGTATCATCTGTAACTGAGTTCGGGAAATCTTTGGATCGGTGGCGTCCTGAGTCAGTCTCAATATAAGATCATCATATCACAAGTAGCCCAAAGCTTTTTAAATTTATCTCTCCATCGTTGAAGCAAGCCTCTAATTAGGCTCTCACATTGGTTGCTGATCTCGTCCATGATAAAACTGCCTAACCTATAAGGTAAACCCAGCCCGGTCTGCCTCGTCCAGCCATCAAATTCTTTTGTAGATAATGAAGGTACTTCAACATTATCATCACAGCAACATAGAGGGACTTGTTTTTATAATAATTGATTGTTTTCGGAGCTGTCACTCTAGATGGCAGGACAAAATGGTTGGCGGAGTTCATTGTGATAGAGAAGGAATATTTGGAATGTTACTAGCCATTTGCGGAGCAGAGATTCAGAGAACTGTGTCTTGTTGATATCTAGCTAGTAGTGTGGCTGATGTTTGTCCAAAACACCTACAATTACAGCGGTATAATACGGCGACTACCTTGGGTACGTTGAACGATCAGACTATGAAGTCGGGAATGATGTCAAAAATAGGTGCGCATATATATTCTAACAGACGCTGAAAATATATACCAAGGGAATAATTCCAAGTGAAATAAAACATCGATTAGCCCAAGTTTCCATTCTTAATTTTGACTGAACTGGACGCCGATGTCGATGTAATAGAAGTTTGGATCTCCTGTCGCTGGTGGAGTAAATGTCTTGATGGCTTGCTCATTCACAATCTGCTCCCCCGTTGGGCTAGTAAGGCGTATTCCAACGGGCAAATTAAACGGACCTGACCCCTGTGGAATTACCCAGCTGCCATATCGTTCTTGTGGGCGACTGCTGGTGTAGTTTGGATCATGGTCCAAAGCAACCCAAGTATTTGTGCCTGCGCCCTTGATCTCAATCTTGGTGACTGATCCAGGTCCATTTGTGTTCACGGCTGTCAGAGCGAAGTAGTACGGTCCCCCGCCATTTCGAAGCCATATATAAACATTTCCAACCTTGGGGCAAGGGACTCTCTTGTATCGAGTTGGAATTACACCATTTGTGAGCGAACCGTTGCCCTGTAGGCGTCCCATGGCAATGTCCGAGAGGTCGAGATGAATGCTGTCGGCCGGGAGAGGGCAACCATATTTGAAATCGATCTCTCCACAATGATCGGCACCGGGGCCACCTATAGCAAGTCAGCTAGAGCCCTCGCCACGTCATGGACCGAATGTCTTACAGCACCACTTGGAATTTGCGCTACAAGGGCAGCTATCTACTATTTCCAGAGTGACCGGATCAGTATAGCCAGCTTCTCCTACAGCATAGTCGGTTCCGTCTGGTTTTGTCTGGATGAGCTCAATGCATTCGCCACAAGACAGGTAGTTATCTAGAGCTCCTGGCAGAGAAGACCAAAACTATTGTGGCATTAGATTAGTGGAAGCAAAAAATGGGCAGTGTCTCTTACCTGTGAATAGTAATCCCCGTTTGGTGCTGCAAAGTTACCGCGAAGAGTAGTGCCCGTAGGGTCTTTGCAAAGCAAAGGGTATGCTGTGCAGAAAGCATCACAAGTTGATCCCAACATAGGATCTGTCCAGCTCGCAGTGACACTGCCTTTTGTGCAGAGACCATAGAGGCCAAAGCCGCAAGCTCCGCCGCTTGTCAAGCCGAAATGCGTAGATCTCTGAAGTCCCGACAATCAGCACGTCTCAGACGAATTAAGGGTGGCAGGAATAATCGACTTACGCTGTAGTGCCAAGTCTCATTGCTAGTTACATGGTGGACTTCTGGGTACATAGTTCCAGATTTGCAATCCACAGAAGGTGGCGTGGCACAGGTACAGCCGCCTGTGCAGAACTCAGATGTGTCATCACTGGCACAATACGATGGACAGCAAACATTATCCACTAGAGTCCAAGACCCACAGCTGGAGGCAGCAACACTTGGGTAAGGAGACTGGGAATGGGGAGCAACCGTCGCAGTATCGGTTGTCGTATACGTGGACGCACCGCCAGTTGGTGAGCCGCCCCCAGGCGATGAGACGGCGGATGAGGATCTTGAAACCGAACTGGATGAAGTTGATGATCCACTAGTAGGACCGCCGCCTCCCTATACTTGGTTAGAAAAAGTCTCACAACAGCCGTAGAAGCTCATACAGTTGAGGCAAGACACTGAGAATACCAGTCATTCACGTAGGTGCACTGGGCACCAGAAACACAGCATGTTGGGCTGGTCCATCCAATGCCTCCACATTGACCACTGCATTCGGGTTAGTAGGTGAGGTAGAAGATATCATAGCGCTCAGTATGCTCACAATAATGCTGCGCAATTCTGCTGAACTGACAGAGAAACAAGGCTTGCAAGAGCCAGGAGACTAAGTTTACGAGCCATTCCGGCTATTACGACTATTTGGGAAAGGCGAATACCTCTAGTTCAGACGGCTTACTGACAGTCTTACTTATTTAGCTTTATATAAATGCAGTGGTATGACTTTTGATGCACCGAAGTTCTCTGCTTGAGGGGTGCTATTTAGGCTGAGTATTATCAGGTGTTCGTGGATCGGATAAGCGGATGTCCTATGCTGAAATCAAGGGCCCAGGCTCTACACCGCTGCAGAGTCGGCGATGTTCCTCGCGGGACGTAACAACCGAGATAAAATGAGCTTAGCCATCGAGTATTGAATGGCTAATAGTAAAACATGTTGTAACGCTGAGAGCTGGTGACCGGTGCTTGATGCCTAAACGTGCTATATAAATTAGCAATAGCCTACCCGCTTCAGCCTGCATCAGGATGTTTGGAGACGCATTCAAAGGGCCTTCTATTAGAATAGGCTTATTTGTATATTTCCTAGAAACCTAGGTTATCAATTTTTGTCATTAATATTGCCATTTAGGTAGAAATAACATTCCACTTTTGTTCAATGCCACGGCGAACCAATGGCGTAAACTACCGCTTATACCATTAGAGCAGAATCTCGATATTTTGGCACTGCAGTTTCTGTCCAAAACCTCCTTCCGTCTTCGACACACCGGCTATCATATATTGCATGGCCAATAGTGTCATTCTATCAAGCCGCGCCTTGCCATGCTGCCCTCCCCTCGATGTGTGCTCCGTTGGGCATTAACGGAAAAAGTGCAAATTGGCAAAGGACCTGCTGAAAATATTCTTTTGTTATTTTGCCGAATATTGAACCTCACGCCCTTATACGCTTTAGGGTCCATTGTGATTCCTGGAGCAGTTAGAACGCACATGCAAGTCATTGTTCAAGAGATATGGAATCATGAAAATGAATGACCGCCCAGCTACAATGGGGAATGTAGGACAGTGCGGTATTACCGTGTCCTAGTAGCGTGGAATTCGACAGCCCCGCCACATTCACCCACCAAAACATTGGATTCACCCCCCGCTGATCTGAGAATATTACGTGGTATATTAATAAGAATACAATCTTTCTTCTCTTCTTTTCTCTCAATACCTAACTTTGTTTAGAAAAACATCTATGGTTTATATTGAAATCAATCTATGACAGCCTTCATCTCGTGATATGGAGTCAAATGGTATAACGGTATGTTGTTGCTCATTCATCCTCCTCACATGCGGCTTCAATAAAATCGACTATCCTCCGTAGTGGGCGGCTTTTGTTGCGCACTTCCCTGATTGTGAAACGATGTATCGCCGTTGTTGCTGTAATACTGTGGCTGCTGGTTGTAATAATTCGGGTATCCATGGCCCTGATACGATTGTCGCGCCCTGTCTGGTGGTGGCTGCGCGGTCTGAGGACCGTATCCGCTATACCGCGCTGGAATGCTGCCACCATATGCGGAATATCGCTTCATGTCCTGGTTCTGACCATCACTAGCGTGAGGATTATTGTACACCTCCATATTGTGATACTGTCCGTATGGGTGTGTTCCTGCTTGCCCTGGGTAAGCTTTGAATTGCTCTGTCGGCTCATTCATTGGAGGGGACGATTGTTGTGATGGGCTGGTGATTGGCAGCGATTGAGAACTGCTGTAAGGAAGCCCTGTGACTTGAGGCATTGGGGCTTGGAAATGGACATTAGGGTCCGCCCTCTGAACATGCTGCGGTGCAGGTTTCCTTCTAATGACTTCCAAAGGCGCTGGAATTGCCATCTGCGCAGACACATCACGAATACTGGCAATGGACTCCCTCTTTGGGATGAATGCTGAGGGTTCATGACTCGACCAGCTATTCGTTGGTTGAATAGAAGCAGTGTCATAGTTAACTTGAGGAGGCGACAGAGGAACCGGATTTTGAGACACAAATTGGGCGTGTGTAGCCTCGACGATTGTTGAAACGCTAACTTCCGGATATACCAAAGGTTCAATGTCCGGAGCGGCTGTCTCCGTGGCCGTCTCTATGTTCGTCTCTATGGCCGTTTCTATAACCGTTTCAGAATCGATGGTTATAGCTGGCTCCGAATTCGTATTCTCGTCCGGCTGACGATCGTCTGCAGTATCATCTCCATCATTTAACTGAACAGCAGAATCCGGCAGAGTATTCAAGTCCGAGACGTTTGGATGGTCATCATCATAATTCAAGCCTTGTTTGCTAATGTTGGCTGACCGAATGACGCTCTCCAAGGCAACGTTGCCGGAATCTGCAGCCGTCTTAAGAGCGTCAAGAAGCACGGTAACGCGGTTGACAAGCACCCCCAAACATTGCCATTGTTCGCTGGAAGAGCCAACAAACCCACTTTGCTCTTCACCTTCAGATTGTTGGGTGGCCTCAAAGGCTGTCTGAAGTGCATTCATGTCTCTCTTGCTTGAATGCATAATATCAGCTCCGTTATCAAGCAGAAAGGTCACAGCCTCCACATCACCACGTGCAGCAGCTACAATCAGAGCAGTGTCACCGTCATTATCCGGCAAGTTGATATCCGCCCCTGCATTGAGCAGCACCTGTAAGGATTCTTTCGGCAGATATGCGGCAGCATTTATGAGGGGCGTTGACGAGTCGTAGCCTCCAAACACATCTACGTCTGCTTTGGCATTGACAAGCATCTCCAATATGTGAGCCTCACCACGCTGGCACGCGGCTAGAATTGGGGGCGAGTCTGTCCCGAGTCCGAGATTTGGATTTGCGCCCTTCTCCAACAGTAAGGATACAATATCGGATTTACTCGACTCGCACGCCCCCTGAAGCGCAGTACCTGCTGCGAAGTTGGCATTTTGGGTGCATGCGTTCACCTCGGCTCCCCGATTAATGAGCTCTTGGACAATTTCATAGTGGCCTTCAGCAGCGGCAGTTTGCAATGCCCAGCCATTTTCGTCGTTGATATCAGCACCGGCATCCAGCAGCAACTGCACCATTTCCATGATGCCATCAAACGCAGCCGCCGTTAAAGCTGTTCCGTACTCTTCTCCTGTGGCGTTCGGGTTTGCAGCAAAACTCTGCAACAACAGTCTCACAGTCGATACTTTCTCTCTATCAGTCGCATTATAGAGAGCGTCGCTTAATGTTTCCTGTGTTATGGAACCGTTTGCATAGTTCCAAGCCAACTGCAGCATTTTGTCTTGTGGTTCGCTACACGTTGCAACTTCGGTAAAAAGACCATTGACATCCAGCCCTTGGCAATGGTCTAGGAGGGATTTCACAATATCCCAGTTCCACTCTTCAACTGCGCAATCCAGAGCGGATTGAAATACAGCTGTCTCATGACCGAAATTGAGTAGCTTGTTGAATACTTCAATCCTTCCGGCAGCGGCAGCGGCAATAAGTGCTGCGCTATAGTCTTGAGGGGGGAGTTTGTCCGCATAGCTCTCAATCAAGTACTCAAACATCGAATAGTCGGCCAACAATGCTGCCAAAGCAAGAGGGCACTGGACGTCTTCGTCATCCGACTTGAAAGTTAGTGACACATTGTGTTCAACGAGCAGCTCAACAGCTTCACGACTCCCAGAGGAAATAGCTGCGTTGACAACCGGCCCAATATCATTTGCAACAGCGTTCGGATCTGCGCCTCGTAGGAGCAGCTTCTTCATGACTTGGATATGTCCACCGAACGAAGCCATATGCAATGGAGTTTGCTCGTGAATCTCTGCAGCATCGTCGATTACTGCACCGCGGTTGAGCAGTTCCTCTACAATATTGGGTCGGCCTAGAAAAGCAGCAAAATGCAGCTTGCAATCGTTTAGTTTTCAAGGTATCGTTCAATGAAACACATTCATGGAGCTTACCGGAGTATTGATTAATGAGTCTCGTTGTTTGATCTCGGCTTCATGGCCATTGCGTATAAGAGCCGCAACTAGTTGTCGGAAGCCAATTGCCGCCGCAACATGTAATCCATTGAGCGTCTTATGGTCGAAGTCATCAAATGTGGTCGTCATGCGGGCGTACTCGATCATCCATCGACGCCGAATGGTAGAGTCTGGTTTCCAAAAGTCATCTTCGAAACTCAAGTCTTCGGCGATCTCCAGAGTCGCATTGCTGGCATGGTGTAGCCAATGCTTGACAGTATAAGCCAGGGCTTTGTCTTTGACCATTTCTACTTCAGGATCGTCCTCCTCCTCGTCTTCTTCGTCCTCCTCTTCATACATTTCTTCGCTGTCCGAATATTCGTCGTCGTCGTCGTCGTCGCCCTCCTCGTCGTCGCCCTCCTCCTCTTCCTCACCATCCACTTTCTCGAGGGCACTACCATTTTCGGATCGAGCCTCCTCCTGGTCAGGGCTATGTTGTTCATCCTTATCGGAGGTTTCGGCCGCTGATTCATTAGAGACCGGATCCGGCATGGAGAAATCCAAAGTGTCCTTAATATGAGTGAAGCATCGTAGAGCTATCACGCCGTGTTGCCACTTGATTTCCTCCTTGGACAATCCGAGTAGTGCCTTCGCATTCTCTGACAAGTGCGTTTTTACAATTATGTTGACAAAACAAACAACAGAGTCAGTTTTACTCGTTCGCTTTAGGTATAGAAGCGGTTTGCATTGCTCAATCAATTTGCGCAGCTCTCCCTTTTCCTGATCCGTAGATGTAAGTCCTGCGAGCAGACTAAGCTCTGATTCGGTAGGATCTTCATAGGTCAAAACCAGAGCACGCAAAATTTCCTTGATTTTCTCAACATGGGCCTCATTTAGCTCAAATATTTGACGCCAGGAATGGTCCAGTAGCGTCTTCAAATCTTGAGGCATGTTCTCGAGAATCTTTCGAACTCTTAGGTCGCTTTCAGTGTTGGAAAGCTCCCCTAGTTGGATGCATGTGATATCAATCCACTGGGTATTTTGGGCGCGCTTGCCTACCAGGCTGCTGGCAAAGTATGCAAGCGCTTTGTTGTATTGCTTTTGTTCCCCAATTGCCGAAATCATTTTCTTGGCATGTTTTCGCAGCTCCAATTGGACTTGATTCTCATATCTGCTGTCTTCCAAGTCAATCACACGGACGCCGTCGACCTTGAGGGCTGCGTCAACATTATGAGACTCTCTACTGGTAATGAACCATCGAGTCGGGACCCGTCTAGCGCCCACGGAACCCAGAGCTTCCAGTTCACCTGCGATAAACTTCATCAATTTAATGGTCGAATCTGATTCGGCGGGCAGAGCATGAAGGTTGTTGAGCACGAAATAGACCCTGCTGCCGATGAATTCATCAGCGAGCATATCTTGAATTGATTGCCACATGTTTTCAACAGTTATTTGTGCTTGCTGTGACCGATTCGCATCATCTTTTCCCTTTTTCTTGGTGAATATCTTCGCGTATGGTGCAAGCGTCTCTTGTTGGTTTATCAGCTGCCTTATCACAGACTTCAAGACATCCTCGGCGGTAGAATAGTCTGTTGTCGTATCACAGAAGAAATAAACAAGGAGAATTGGGCCCTGTCCGGTGTCGTTCTCTTCATTTTCGCGTATTAGCTTCTCGATGCCTTGTAGGGCAGCCATAGCGGCGTTCGTTTTGCCTCGGCCTTCGCGACCACGGATATATAAACAGTCTACCGCCAGGGGAGGCTTCTCTTTGTCACCATCTCCTGCATATCGCAGCCACTCCAAGTATTCAGCTTCTTGAGGTATCCAAGACGAAGGTGTGAAGGATTGTGACAGTGTTTTCCTCTTCTTTTGTACTTGTGCGCCGTCTAGTGCATCCATTATGCCGCTAATCATAGCGCGGTCAATGTCTCTCACCGAGTTTAAGCGATTCCTTACGGATAGCTGAGCTCCGTGGATGATCTTTTTCACCGGATCTCGCACCATTTGTGTCCATCGATCGTCTTTTGGGCCATCAAACTTTACCAAGTCCCGGTGATTGCAGGCCAACCCAAGCTCTTCAACTCCAGGGAGTGTTGCAGAGTCCCGGTTGACAAATTCGGCATATTGCTTTGGTATAAGATTCTTGGTAAGCCCAAAGAGGCTTGGAAGGCCAGCCATTTTCGAAAAGTCAGTTGGATGCTCTTCCCAGAAACAGAACAAGTCGATTTTCGGATTGATTTTCCCCACGAGACGCATAAATTCATGCTTGAGCTGTCGCAGTTCCTCGTCGCCTGGCTTCATGAGGTCCAATAGTTTTGATGAGAATGCTACGTCCACCTTTTCTGCAAAATGGGCGTACATTGCTGCCACAGCCGCAACGGGAGCACCACTAAATGGAGTGCCAAAGAAAATACACGCGGTGGTTGCCTCAAACATGATGGGAAATAGATCGCGACGGGAATCGGCAAGGGTGATCGCCTTTGCGACTACTAGACCGCCCATACTATGTCCGATGAATACGATCGGTCTTCGTTGGCAGCTCTAATTGCTCTGTGTTAGCTAGGTTCACAACCGAGGACTTGGTGGCTTACTTCTCTCTTACTCCTCAGTCCAACCAAGAGGCCCATGGCAATATTGCCCATGAATTGTTTCACCTTTAGCTGACCCGTCCATGCTGAGTCGTACATATAGAGCAGCAATCGAGCCCGTGGGAAATCTCTTTGCAAGCCATCTGCGTGAGTGGTCCAGTTGAAATCAGTTTTACTAGACTTCCAGCTATCTTCTGGATTGGCTCCTAATCCTGGGACGAACACAATGCTATTACAACTGTTAGAATTAAAAAAAGGCCTTAACCAATAAAGTGCACGTACTCGAGATCGGGAACAATATTTCCTTTATCAAGTGGATACAGTTCTTTGATGCCTTGCTGCACAATCTCATAGCCCTTTTGCTTTTTCGGTGCGGCTGGGTTTAGGTTGGGATTAGGCCCTTTTCGCGTTCCTGACCGTTGGATGTTTGCCGACCGCCGTACAGTCGTCGATCGCTGTACTTCAAGAGACATTTCGAGAATTCGATGGCAGTTTTTATCGCATTTGATTCAAAGGGGATTATTTGAAGAGTTCTGGTAAGCCGTGGTTTATGAGCTATTGAGGCTCAAATGAGGAGATGCCTCAGAGAGCTTCAGGGGTCCATTGTTCCTTAGGCAGAAACTTGATGTGTCAAATTTCCCTTCCTGCTGTTCATTGTCAGATACTATTAACAGGGTATCTAGCGGCTCTGTTTGCATGGCCCCCAAATTTTCCCGTGCGGCTGAATTGAAGTCCTGTTTAAATATGGGTCTAGTACTTCATCATCTGTAAATAGGTACAATAGTCATCATCGACTGCGTTGTAAACTGTTTCTATTAGCGCATACTTTCATTGTACTTTTGATGGGAATGGTGCTCATCAATAACTGCCTTCTCGACGAAATTTCTGTAACGGTTGTAGACTATGTTGAAATCCGTAGTCAAATCATCACATATCCGTACTTTGCGGCTTGTTTATTAATTTCCGCAACAACTACGGAGTGCAACCCACTGAGTAGCCTCTTGATATCCCCCTGACGCCCTTACAAGCAGTCATCTGGCCAGGATACTGGCCTGGAACCATGCGGGCGAATCCATCGCGCTCCTCTTTCCCCGTTCAGGTTCATTAAACAGCCAATAGGAGGATAACACACTCTAAACTCAGCCTTGAGAGCGCCAGGATCAGAGCTAGACTACTCTTTCTTAGGCAGCCAACGGAAATTGCGGACAAGTAGTTCCTTGCAGTTTGCTTGAGTTTATAATTAGCTGCTCTCCTTTGAGCAGTAGCAAAGCAAAAAAACTTTTAGTTCGCTCATCAGGGATTCCCTGAGGTTAGCCCTACTGTACGGAGTACATGTTATGACATTTCGCCATGGCTGCAGTCATAGAGAAAGCTCCGCCTTTTACCATTCAATTGGGCGGCCCGACCGCCGAAGACTTTAACAAGGATGGGCAAGACGCGACACAACTGGCGAGAATCTTGCCACCAACCGCTCGCTCTGGGAGAGACGAGATCTTTTCCCCTACCAGCAACTTACAAGAATTTCTGCAACAAGAACTTTTCGTTAGAAAGATTAATGCTGTTCAAGATTGGTTGTGGGCCTGCGGTCGACCTATGCCTCCTCGGCCGCTGCATCACCAACGAGTGCTCTCTAGAGACATTATCGTTACAGAGAACCCGGAACTACATCTCATATGGGGTCCTCAAGGAATTCACTTGAAGCCACTGCCGGAATATCTGCTAGATCACTCTTTTTGGAAACAGCATATTCTGTCAAATGCGAGTCGAGAACACGCTGAGCTAGAGCAATGTGCTCGGGGGTTTTTATTCTCGTACTGTGCTCTCATTGCACACTATAGCGACTTTCGCATCGCACGCGAGAAAGGACTCTTACCAGATGCCGTGACCTGGGAGTACTGGAGGATACTGTCGAGTCAAATCTTGCAGCAGCATTGCTATTCTACAGTCAACCCCAGATACTGGTACGGTGAACTCCGGCTGGGGCGCTTGAACAAGATATACCGGTTTCGAAAAGGTCATTTATTGAGAGGATATTCTAGAATCTCTGGTTACGCTATTTACGGAGACTTGATTCGCGACAACTTTGCGTCACTTATAACGTTACTTGGCTACGTTGTTATTGTGTTAACAGCAATGCAAGTCGGCTTGGCCACGGACAAATTGATTGCCAACAGTGCCTTCCAAGCCGCTAGTTACGGTCTTGCCATATTCTCCATCATTGCGCCACTAATTTCCGCCGTCGCCATTTTATTCTTTGTTTCTATTTGGGTAATCAGCAATTGGCGCGCCACTAAAGACTTTGAGAAACGGAGATTCATTGAAATGGGAGTAGAGCCATTTTGGCGAGAAAAAAAGGAATGATCAAAAAGTTTGTTATTTAGCCCAAGAGAATAATCGGTAACTTTAGAAAAATACTTTGTAAAAGAGTTCCATGTTCTTTCTATATAATGCTTTTATAGCAAGGGGTCAATATGCTTTGCGAAAGCCAGTTTTGCCCAGCACATAAGCATTCATCGCAACACCAAACAGCCATAGTTCCAAATAAAATGACCGTCTTTGCTAGCATCAGAAGTAGATACAATAAAATAAATCCTACATCTAGTTGAAGATGAGACAATCCATCTACAAGCTAATATCTCAAGCCGCCACCAAAGCACCTTACAGGCACTGAGAGTAGAATGGGTTCAGAACTTGGCAAGTGTAGCCGCTAGCGCATCTGGTAGGTCCGGTCCAGCCAGTTCCACCACATTGGCCGTAGTGTGTCTGGGTCGCGGTGGGCGAGCTTCCAGTGCTGGACGGAGGCAGACGAGTGGTCGAGGTTCCGGGAGGGGGGCTGCCAGTGCTGCCGCCAGTGCTGCCAATTGGTCCGAAGCGGATGTTGGAGTAGATGACTTTGGCGTTAGGTGACTGAGCTTCGACCTGGGCGGGAACACCAGAGCTAGTAGAGCAAGTTCCTCGCTTGGCGCCGGGGGTACCAGTGGCATTTGTTGGGTAGGTGGAATCCAACCAAAGCATGTTGACAGCGTACTGCGTAAACCAGTCAGTTTTGTAACAGGAATCATATCAACTATGTCATAAACTCACATCATCCCACAAACTCATGACTAAGACCATACCGCCTTGGAATGCCTTGTTGATCTGGGCAAGGCCGCCCTTGTCTGAGAATGAGGTTCCGCCAAAAGCTGTCTGCTCAGCTGCACAGTAGTCGGTGTTGATCGTGTTGCCAGTGTAGCTGCCAAGTGTAGCGCTGGGCTGCTCGAACTTGACTCCATTCTGAACATAGTATCGGCTGATTGCACCGTTGGTGGCGAACTGGGTCACAACGGTCAATTTCTTGGTGGTATCAAGAGCAAATGATGAACCAGGTCCGTAGAAGGAGGTATTGCCCAGGCGGTATGGGTTCCAGTCGCATCCATCAGGGTCGCAAGTACCGCCATATCGGTCATCAGAGTAAGTTCCACCGCAAGAATCGCCGGTGCATATCGTCTGACCGACATCCTCGCAAGGATGGGGAGTAAGAGCCTCAGAAATGGAGTTTGCTTCCCAGATATCCATCTCTGAGCAGCAGCTTCCGTGATTGCCAACACCAGTATTGGCGTTGTTGGAGGATGGCTGCCAACCCTCCACATTGGCCTGACCGTTAATGAACTTCAGGTCACGAGGGCATTGGCTGTCGCAATAACCTGTGCCGTATTTGGCACCGGCAGCATTGGTTGGGTACTTGCTCTTGCCACCATCCGCGTCCATGGAGACGAAGTACAGGGCTCCGTTCAAGCCGCAACTAGCAATGGTTTAGCCCACGAGCCACGGCACTAACTAAGGTGTTGAGTGGTGGTTACTTACGGCAATTGAGAAACATCGACGTCAAAGGAGAACTCGTTGCCAGACAGCGTGAACTCCTGGTAGGTAGTATCAGATGCCATCAAGTACAAGCGGGAGCCGACATTCGACGCAGTGACAAATTGGAGAGTGAGAGCGTCGCCGCTAGTGGTAACTCCGTAAGTGCCCGAGTAGTTGGCTCCATCCAAACAACAATTCTGGGCACAAGTCGCATCGTTGGGGCACAAGCTCGAGCTCCAAGTGTTGCCATCGTAGCAGTTGGTGGTGCTCTTGGTATCGTGAGTCCAACGCCAGTTGGCATCAAGAACTACAGAGCCTTGTTGAGCTGTACAACCGGAAGCTGTGCATTTCTGCCATGTCAGAGGTGGGTGAGTCTCCGCCTGTTGCGTGCAGACCTGCTGAGCACGAGCAGCAGCCAGGAAGGCCGTGATTGCGGCCAATTTCTGATACATGGTGTGCAGCCTTTCGTTACTTAAGATGATGTACACAAAGATGGTGTGTAGGGCTCTTGGAGTATCCGAGCTGATGGAGAGATAGAGAGAGAGAGAGAGAGATGGGGATGGAGGAGGAAAGAGCTTGGGTTATATATAATTTTCTTGTCATGGACATGAGAACAATGAGGCTATCTTTGCCGGCTATTATTGGTGCCTAAGCTTCTAATTCACATGGTCAATCGGCACTACAACCTAGTTACTTACCTGTAATGTCCATTTTTCTGCACGGCAAAAGCAACAATGCACTCCCACCACACCGAATACCTTCCGATCACTAACCATTTTGGAAGACCGATTTCCTTAGGCAGATTAAGTTGATTCAATTGCCTGTACAGAGAAACCCCGGTAGATTTCGATTACATACTCCAGTGATCGCGGTCTTGTCTCGATGCGAGACCTCATAAATTATTATCTACTTCATCGTTCTTTGGCTACCAAACTTCCCAGCCTATCATCAACTGGCTGACTGGACATAACGACGCAGAATTCACTCTATGCTTTAGAATTTACTCAGCATTATGTATCCTATCGTTGTTCTCTTGCTAGACCGTCTGTATGTACTATTGCTTCAAGAGCAACCAACGGTTCTCGGAAAGAGTGAGATTAAAGATGAGCGGAAGAGAACAACGTGGGGAAGTGGGGCCTATCCTTTCTTCTGTAACCTTCTAAGTAGCTGCTAAATGTTTAGCCACTTAATTGGTGAATTTTTAGCCGCTAGTTTATAATATCTTTAGCCAATAGCCCATCTACTTTTAGCCACCGGTTTGTATTCTTCTATAACGTTGCATTGAGTGCCTAAAACACACGATGAGACCTAACTGAAGGCACTGGCCTAAACCAATGCCTTGATTGAACACTTATTATGGGCGGAGATAAGAAATACGGTATCCATCACGTTCGGTCATGAAGCTTCTACTTGGAAGCTATTTGCTCTGAAGGACGACGCTGGGAGACATATGTCTCATGCGGCACGGACTGTCGCAAGCCAAAGTAAGTGGTATCGAAACTGGAGAAAGCATAATTATCCAGTAAGACACCGTGGGTATTGGAGGCAAGGCGGGGTACAGCAATCTCCAGGCTGAGCGTCCCGGCATTGTAAACTTCATGGGCCCTTATTGCCTATTTAATTATTCCGTTTCATTCCTCCTAGGAATATCCGATTACAATCACCCAGCATGGCTGTCTTCCACCAATGGGGAGACTTCTGCTCGTGGATAAGATGAGACATGCCAATAACAGATTCTGCCTCTATTGAAGCTGGTTAGCCTGATCTATTACGGTTTGGTGTTTATTTCAGCCGTTTTATAAAAGCTCGCCAGGCGTCTCCATTATGCGGATTGGCCGAAGATTTCGGAGTATTCTAAAGTCACATTTTATAAACGGATAAACCGATCTACCTCATATCCACATGAGGCGTTATGTTTTCATGAAGAGACGCATGTTTGTGGCCCTATTGTAACCTAGCAATTTCCGAATTAAAAAAAAAAAGCGGTTGCGTAGTCGTATATATGAGTAGAGAAGAGTCGTACACATATTCCAGATACTCTTCATTTCAAGTTCTAGCCTTCATCATATTGCCCATTGTTATAAGCGACGGCATATCATTGACTATGAGGGGATTGAAGTTACTAATGCATCTTTTACATCTGATTGAGGGCATTTGGACATTGGGCAATCAACACATATTGCTAGAGGGCTACACGAAATCACACGATAGTTGAACTCCGAGCTGAAGTTACTGGCAAGGAACATTGACAAGAATAGGTGGTTTATTCAAGCGAAAATATACACATCGTCAAAGCAAGGTTATCTGCTTTACCTGTATAGTATTGGTATCTTCTCATCTTACACTTTGATGAAAGTCTCTTCCAATTGCCAATGAATGTGGTAGAATTTTATGCCCTTGCTTATGCCGACTTCAAACTATGGGTGTATTTAGTGCGATTTAGTGGATACATACACGATCGGGATGATCGGAAAGAAATGGAAAATAAATTTATATTTGTCCCATGTTGATTAAAACACCACGAGATGCGGTGCTATGGAGCTTAAACTTGGATCTAACCTGTAAAAGACACTTGCATAGAGGATATAAAACTGTTCGGTTACATGAGTTTTCAGAAGCAGTAGTTTCTTCTTTTATGGCGAGCATCACGTGTACCTGTAACGCGTGTTCATGATAGTATTTAAAGACAAAGCATCCAGAAAGAGTCAAATGGCAGAGAAGCCTTTTGACTCTCTCTCCGAATGAACGTTATTTATACGTTACAACTGTCAATTCAACAAATACATTTCACAAGATATATTTCATATTTTATTTCCAGGTCCCATCAAGATATTCGCAGATTGATACCCTACAACATGATACTCTGTGCCATTCTAAATACCGCTGATGACATTACAGATGATCATCATCCCAAATGTCGCGTCAGTATAGACGCGCTTCCATCCAGGTAAAGTATAGTGGATAAAAGAGTAGCTGAAGGTAGAATTAAGAATATACGCGACCTTCTTCATATCTGAATTATCAGCAGCAATACTTACGTCGTTTGAATTATGTCCATCGAAACGTATGATATATACCTTTATGTTTGGAACTGCTTAACAGAAGTATATCCGTTCCATGCAAAGGAATAATCACATTCGTGGGCTCAAGGGAATACTAGGTCATTGGCAGATAACATTTTTGCTTCCTGCTAAAGCAAAAGTCTTCTTATAAAAGAAACCTCTTCATTCTATATTCGGTGTTTGATGTATAAGTAGTAATTTGGTATAATCAACCCATGTACTTGTTAGCCGTATAAGTATTTACATTTACAAAATCAACAAAGACAATTCCAGACATTTAGGTAACTGTGTTGATCATTTTGGTCTACATCTACCATGTAGTCTATTTAACCACAAACATATGATGCACCTAGTTGGTTGGAGAGTAACAGGGGGGAAAGGGAAGTATATTCGAGAATGAGAGATGGTGAGAGTTATGATGGGCAATGAAGAGGTAAAGAAGACTGAGTTGCCAAATGTAACACGCCGCTATTCCCAATGTATGAAAGGTATTCTAATCGGAAACACAAATGTATTTATGATTTGATGAATAAACACCAACCAAATCGAACCAGACTTTCTGTGACCTTCGATCACGACGCAACACAGGTGGGAAACGAAGGTATGCATATACCTTTTGAGGAGATGTAGATGGGCAGCTGGCCAATTCAATGTACAATACTCCGTATAAGCACAAAAAAGACAAATAATTTGTGTTGAGGTCAACCAATGATACATTTGTCGTCTAGCGCGTGTGTGTCGATAAGAGGGAGGTGAGCCTAGATGATGTCATGCTAGCGAATCATGCTCAACCCTAACAGCCAGTAATTAATAATGCAAAAGCTCTAGCCCTTGTTGTTCCAGTTGATAAGGCATCGCGGAAGCTTCCAACTTAAGTAGGTAGCTGGATAGTGAACACAGGATATTGAAGCCAATCATCTGTTGTGAAGCCGCTTTCCTGTTTTGGACATGGAGAAATCGGAACATCGGCATCAGGTTTGGTGGTTGTCTAAGCAAACTAGCCAGGATCGGTACCTAACCCGCGTGAATAGGGAAGGTGAATAGTCTCCGATAGCTACTCCGATAGGGCAAGATCGCCAAGCCACAATCTCATAAAAGAATGCTTAAACATTGAGTTATCTCCCCCAGTCGCGTAATAACCATAATCGTGATGTTCAAGATGAGCGTTTTGTATTCCAAGTAGAATGCGGAAAAGCTTGCAAAAAGTTTTCTTTTACAACCTCATTCTTCTCTATTTTATCTTTTAATAAAATTATTTCGTCAAACGCCAAGCCAAGCAGACACATGTAGCGAGGATGTACGGCTTCTCGGCACGTCTACATGGTCTTCCACTTGACCCGGCGCCACTCCCCACCACCATTTCCTCTGTAGGGTGTGGTAGCATGTATACTGCATTTGGATTGTTTTCTGCGTAAAGAACTTATGTAGCAGCGAGCTTCGCGTTGGGAACTTCTATCCTCATGGTGGCGTAAATGCAATGTTATTATCGCGGATGGGCCTCGTACTGGTCTTAATACGGAATCTCGTTCCCAATGATGGCTCGGAGATGTTTTTCAAGAGGGAAGGTGTACCACAATTTCTTGTACGATACCCAATGCATCTCAAATTGGAGCCTCCCAGCCTCGCAGTAGCCTTGAGATTGGGAAGAGATATCTCTTATTTACCTGAGTCAACGCAAATATAAATACAGCACGATGTCCTTCGTTGATATATTGTCCAACCTCATCACAGAGTATTCACACAGCACACTTGGTCCACAAACTCTCTTCGAGACAATCCTTGACATTCATTGCCCAACATGATGTTCATCACTAGCATCGCCCTCTCGGCGCTTCTTTGCGCTGATGCCGCACTGGCCGGTGTTGCTCAAAACCGAGGCCTGGCTGCTCGTCTTGCTCGCCGTGCTGGTCGCCGCTCAGCACCCATGAGGAACAACACCAGCCATGCTACCGTTCAGTCTAACTGGGGTGGTGCCATTCTTGGTGGCTCAGGCTTTACCGCGGCTTCAGCAACTGTCACTGTGCCCAGAGGCGGCGGCGGCTCAAGCGCTGCAGGCTCTGCTTGGGTTGGCATTGACGGTGCCACCTGTGACAGCGCCATCTTGCAGACCGGTTTCGATTTCTATGGTGATGGCACATATGACGCTTGGTATGAGTGGTACCCCGAATTTGCTGGTAAGTGTTCTTATCATGACTTCCAAAAGGATGGCGGTTTAACTTGCAACAGCCGATTTCTCCGGCATTGATATTAGCGAGGGCGACCAGATCGCCATGTCCGTCGTGGCTACATCCCTGACCGGTGGCTCTGCCACTCTTCAGAACCTGTCCACGGGCCAAAAAGTGACTCAAACTTTCAGCCGCGTCACTGCAGGCTCTCTTTGCGAAACCAGT